TTATTCCAATAAAGGGAGAGGCCATGGGGCATCCCCTGGGGTCTCTCCCATTTTTGGAGGATGCAGCCTCCTTTTTATCCAATTTCCCTTCTCTCTTTCCCCATTTCTGAGGTACTTGAGAGGTTCAGACTTCCCAAAACACCTGATACCAGAGATTTCCCTCTAATGTACAACCCTCCCTTTTAATTTTTAATTCTTTCGGAATTCAGGAGTCTTTCCCCATTTCTGAGGTACTTGAGAGGTTCAGACTTCCCAAAACACCTGATACCAGAGATTTCCCTCTAATGTATAACCCTCTCTTTTCATTTTTAATTCTTACAGAATTTAGAGATTTTGTCTTCCCCATGGTTTCTTTCATCTTTCAATGTATAATTTCATTTATCAGCAAACCTACAGTTTATTTGTAAAAGCAAACATCTTTTTCCATTCATCAATCAGTGGAATGGGCTGATAAATTAAATTAGACATTGAGAGATGAAAGAAACAATGGGGAAGAAAAACACCCTAAATTCCATAAGAATTAAAAATGAAAAGGGAGAGTTGTACATTAGAGAGAAATCTTTGGGATCAGGTTTATCAGGAAGTCTGAACCTCTCAGGTACCTCAGAAATGGGGAAAGAGAGAAGGGAAATGCAGCTGGGAAATTGGGAAGAAAAATCCCTAAATTCAGTAAGAATTAAAAATTCAAAGGGAGGGTTGTACATTAGAGGGGAATCTTTGGGATCAGGTGTTCTGGGGAGTCTGAACCTCTCAAGTACCTCAGAAATGGGGAGAGAGAGAAGGGAAATGTGGCTGGGAAATTGGGATAAAAAGGAGGCTAGGTCCTCCAAAAATTGGAGAGACCCCAGGGAAATGCCCCATGGCCTCTCCCTTTATTGGAATAAAGTTACAGGCCTCCTCTGTCTCCTTTTTGGACTTAAACCTCTGGTGTTTGTGGATTAATTTTCCTAACAAGGGGAGCTGAGTGTGCTGCAGTGGAGCAACAGGTCTGGAGGAGGCTGGACTACCAGCAAAGAGCTTGGAAGCTCAGGATTTCCTTGTCAAGGCCAGAATTTCCTTGTCTGTGTCACACAGATTTAAAAAGCAGCGCCCTGTGCCTCTGTGGCTGTGCTACCAGCACACAACTCGATGGCTCCCACCAATTTCAGAGCATTTTCATTTTACACCATTTCCTACATCCATGCCAGCCTGTCTCCCAGATGCCACTGATGGCGTTTTTAAAGAAATAATTACGATTTTTAATGTTTTTTTTTTTTTCTTCTCTTCCCTTAAATGGTTTAAAATCTTTCTGACAACCCCTCTTGAGACACCTATTTAGTGTCAAAGAGCATAACGTTCCCAAGTTTTAAAAGGGCCCTGGCATAATACTGATCGATCAATGTGCTCCTTGGGAAAAATAGCTCTCCAGATGGTCCATCGGGACAGGAATTGCTGCTCCTCACAATGAGGAGCCAAAAAAGCGTCACTAATGTGGGCTGTTGTGAGGCACGCTTCCTTTGTGGGCCTCTGAATGCCCTAAATAGGGAAGAAAGTGTGGGAAACTCGGAGAAACTCAGGCCCACACTCTGAGGTTAATAGGGGCTTTGTCAGGAGAGTATTCCTGAGCTGTGGGATCAGCATAATAAACAATATTTTCCCTAAGGGTGGGAATGTGTTGGGAGCAGGGGAGAGTCACCCCAGGGGCAGGAGGAGCCCTAAGAAGCTTTGAGTTCAATTATGAGAAGTGATAATAATTAATAAATTGTAAACATAACCTTTGCTGGGCAGGGGCTGGGCAGGCTGGAGGTCTGGCTTTTAGCTCTGGGGTAATTGGTAAATTAAAGCCCAGAGGGGCAAGGCTGGGCTTGATGGTGAGAGGAATGGTGGATTTGTCTTTCTGAACAAGCTGTGGGGCTGCTGGTGGATAAAACCAGCACTGGGAGATAAAAGAAACAATTGGAAGGATTCCACTGATTGATGAATGGAAAGAGATATTTGCTTTTACAAATAAACCTTAGGTTTGCTGATAAACGAAATTAGACATTGAGAGATGAAAGAAACAATGGGGAAGAAAACCCCCTAAATTCCGTAAGAATTAAAAATGAAAAGGGAGGGTTATACAATAGAGGGAAATCTTTGGGATCAGGTGTATCAGGAAGTCTGAACCTCTCAAGTACCTCAGAAATGGGGAAAAACCCCTAAATTCCATAAGAATTAAAAATGAAAAGGGAGGGTTATACAATAGAGGGAAATCTTTGGGATCAGGTGTTTTGGGAAGTCTGAACCTCTCAAGTACCTCAGAGATGGGGAAAGAGAGAAGGGAAATGTGGCTGGGAAATGGGGATAAAAAGGAGGCTGCATCCTCAAAAAATTGGAGAGACCCCAGGGGAATGCCCCATGGCCTCTGCCTTTATTGGAATAAAGTAAAAGGGCTCCTCTGTCTCCTTTTTGGACATAAACCTCTGATGTTTGTGGATTAATTTTCCTAACAACAGAAAGCAGAAGGAAAAAACCCAGCTTTTTTTTCTGTGGGTTTTGATCCCTTCCCACTGCCCAGGGAGGAGAAATCCACTGTTCCTCTCCCTCACACTCATATTTTACCCCACCTTCAGAGGTGCTGCCAAGCTGAGACCCTCACACCCTCTCCCTTGGGTGGATCCCCATGCCCAGGAGAGCAGCAGCCCGGCCTGTGCCACGGTGTGGCTGTGGTTCCATCAGGCTGGGCTGGCCTTTGGGAAACCTGTCACTCCATCTGAGCCTGAACTCCCCCAAACTGCCCTAATTAGGCTTGATTTAAACCCCCCCGGGCATGGGCAACAGCTGGAGTTGTGCTGGGATGCAGAAGCCTGTGCTAATTGGCAAGGACAAGTTGAGCGCGGAGAGGTTGAAGTGACTTCTTCAAGCTCGCTAAGCAACCATAAAACCCAAAAATATCTCCTGTGAATTATTTAGCAGTTCATTAGGAAGAATAAATCTGGAGCACTGGTAGAGGCCTGCATCAAACCCCCCAACCTTGAAGAGCACTCAACCAGCCTGTGCAGAAATAAAACCGTTAGGAAAATTAATCCACAAAAAACCAGAGGTTTATGTCCAAAAAGGAGACAGAGGAGTCCTCTTTGGCTTTATTTGAATAAAGGGTGAGGCTCCTCTGTCTCCTTTTTGGACATAAACCTCTGGTGTTTGTGGATTAATTCTCCTAACAAAACCAAAATGATCCACAATGCCCAAAACGAGGCAGAGCAGCACATCCCTGTTTGGTTTTTGGGGCTTTTCTGTGTGGTTAACAGAGGATTTCACCACAAACCCAGCGAGGACTGGGCAGGTTCAGTGCTGGCTGCAGTTTGATCTGTCAGCTGAGCAGATCTCAGGTTGCTTTTGACAAGATCAGGTATTCAGGGTTTCCTTTTGTCAGGGAGGAAACCCTGAGTGCTTGAAATGCAGCTTTTCAAGGGCACCTCTCCCAGGGGGTCTGAGGAAAGTTGGATTTTTGTCCAAATGTGTTTTGTGCTGTTCCTGTATCTCTGGAAGAAGGAGAGTGTCCCCTGTCATAAACCCAAACCACTGAATTGCTGTGGTTAGGGAATAGTTTTGTGAAATGAATATTTGTGCAGATTTATTTAGAAGAGAAGGTAAAATAAAAGGAAATAACTTAGGAGAGGAAATGCTTCCTCAGTCTCTCCTATCTAATTATACTTTTAGCCATATGTGGGCTAATTTCACTTCTGGAAAAGAAGCCTAACAGAATTTATGTCATGAAATTAAAGCAGCAAAATTAGTTCACCTCATTGCAGGTGGTTTCAAAGGTCCCCAAGCTGAGGCAGGTGCCAAACCCTTTGGAAGTTATTGGGAAATCTGCACAGGCAGAAAGCACAAGGCTGCTCTCAGCTTGGTGGAAAAATTAGTGGGGGAAATGAAGTGGCTGTGGAATGAGTGATTTGTTGGAGGCAGAATAGGTCACTGTTAAACCTGAAACGTTGCCACTTCTCAGCGCCTCGCTTCAATTTCACTTCCATTTCGATTTTTGATAATTTTTCCAGAGGTTGCCTCCTCGCAGGATCTGAGATCCAGCTCTGCCAAAGGGATTTCCCAGATGTAATTCATGTATTGGAGTGAAGGGCTCAGAACTGACACCTCCTGATGGCTTCCCCACCACAGGAGAGGCTGCAGGCACCCACTCCAGCCCTTTTAATCATCCCGAAGCAAAGCATTAATGACTAAAACCATTTTTATTGTACTGTACAGCGAAGACATGCAAGTTTAACATCACACAGGATGAATACATCACAACTTTATAAAAGCTTTTTAAGCTCCTTGGCGTGCTCAGTGAATGATTATAAAGTACTTATTGCCTCCCTTCCTCCCCCTTTTCCTTAAGGTATAGCAGAGGTATTTCCTTTACAAAAGGCACCAATTATCCCTCAAATGAGAGCAGCGCAAAGTGACACGAAGAGAATTGTCCCCAGAGCTCTCTGTGATCATCGCAGCTTTCTGTAAGAAGGATACTAAAAATAGCAGAGGAGCTTCAGAAGAATCAGCATTTCTTAATGACACCTTTCACTCAAAAGGGAAAGGCTCAATCCTCTCTTTATGATACAAAATACATCCTCCGAAGGGCTCCTTCTTGAGGAAGGTCAATACATTATCTAGAGACAATGGAGCACTTGAACTGTGACCCAGGCAGTCAGCAGAAAGATTTCCACTGACAGCCACAGGCTCAGCAGCCTGTGATGGAACCCTGCTCTCTAAATCACCACAGAACTTGGTCCTGTCTTTGGCCAGGAGCCACCAATAGAAGCAACAAACCTGCTGCAAGATACACCCAGAATCCTTCACTATGAAGGGAAACCACCCAGCGACCCTCATTTCTGCTGACAGAAAAAAAAAAACCAATAACCACCCCTTCCTCCCACCTTTGGAAAGCAACGTTTCCTACTTCAAAGAGGAACTAACAAACCACAGGTCCCTCTAGTTTTTTTTTTTTTGGAGCCGAAAAAAAACCGTGGGAATAAAGTTCAGCAGCTCTACCAGGGTCTCCAGATGGTGGGAGCAGCAGCCAGGCTCTTCTGGGCAGGCTGTTTTCTGGGGAGCACACAGGGAGACAGGGGGGAGCCATGCAGAGCTGCAGAGTAGGAGGCATCTGCAGCCAGCTGAGCCTTGCAGAAGTGCTTGATCAGCTGCACCTGGGTCTCCTTCTTGGGCTCGTAGTAGGACAGAAAGTGCATGGCTTCCCTGAGGCACCGCAGGTACCCGCTGTTAAAGTCCTGCTCTGGGCTCTTGTGGATGAAAGCTGAAAGAGAAGGAAAAAGCAAATGCAGTGGGTTAAAACCATGACCAAAACATGACCAAACCATGACCAAAACATGACCAAACCATGACTAAAACATGACCAGAACATGGGGCAGGGACCCAACACTAACACTGGCTGCTGGTGGAGTGTGGGGCTGGGAAAGCAGGGACCCAACGCTAACATTGGCTGCTGGTGGAGTGTGGGGCTGGGAAAGCAGGGACCCTGGGAGCAGTGGCTTTCCTGAGCCTGGCTCGTGCTGGGCACAGCCGTGGTGTGGCCACACTTTTGGAGGAAGGTGGGGAAAGGGAGGGAAACCCTGCTAGAGTTCAAATGAACAATTTGTGCGGTGGCTTTCACGTGCTTGGGGCTGGGGTGCTCCATCCCCTGCCTGCCTTGGGGTGTCAGAGAGCAGGTCCAGGTGTGCAATACCTGCTCTGCACTCACCTTTTTGGTCCTGCAGCTGGCTCTGCTGCTTCAGGTAGCTGACAGCCACTTCCAGGATGTCGGCTTTCTCCAGCTTGGAGTTGGGCTGGTGCCTCTGGAACTCCTTCTCCAGGAGCAGCTTCAGCTGCTCGATGCTGCTGTTAATCCGGTCCCGGCGCATTTTCTCCACCACCGGCTTCCTCAGCTGTGGGAGAGGGAGCAGATCCTCAGGGATTTGGTGAGACCTGACCCAATTTCCCCTCTGATACACCCATCCTCAAAGATGCTTATTTTTAGCTGTGTGATGCTGCTGACCCATTCCCCACTCGTTTTAATTTTTAAAAATCTATACAATCACCCTTATCTCTCTTTAACCTCATCTCTCTTTAACACATTTGCTCTCTCCCAGACCACTTCCCCCTCTTCTCCCATGCTATATTTACTTTCTAGGAGCAGGCCAGCCCTTCCGATCCCCTCCAGGGCTCTACTTACTTTATTCTTTTCCTTTGGCAGCAGCTTCTCCTCCATGTGGATCACGAGAGCATTGCTGGGAGCCATTCCTAGCGCTCAGCCCCGGGCACAGACCCCAGGCAGCTGCTGTGCCGAGTGTGATGAGATGCTCTGGCAGCTCCCAAATCCCTCTATTTATACCCAGGGAGCCGGGGCAGATACGTGAGTGTGGGGATGGCCGGTGTTTCCCACAGCCCCGCAGCCAATCCAGCCCCGCGGAGAGACAATAGAGGAAGCATCCATTAGTGCATGGTACATTGATTGCCAATGCCCCGGGGAGAATAACCTTCTGCCCAGGCTGCTGGTGGAGTGTGGGGCTGGGAAAGCCCCGACCCTCCAGCTGGTTGGGCTGGCATCAGTGGCATTCCTGAGCCTGGCATGTGCCGGGCACAGTGGAGGAGGCAGGCTTTTGGGGAAGGTGGGAAAGGGAGGGAAACCCTGCTAGAGTTCAAACCAACAGCCCCAGGGACATCTCTGCCATTCCCAGAGCTTGGAGGAGCTCTGTGTGTGTCTTGTGTTGAGTTTGTGAGGGTCCCCAGGACGAGGTGAGAGATGAGAATCTGACTCCGTGTTCTCAGAAGGCTGATATTCTATTCTATTCTATTCTATTCTATTCTATTCTATTCTATTCTATTCTATTCTATTCTATTCTATTCTATTCTATTCTATTCTATTCCATTCCATTCCATCCCATTCCATTCCATCCCATTCCAATCCTATACCAAAACTAAGTAAAAGAAAGGCTTCACAAGAATGAATAATAAAAACTCGTGACTGACTCCTCAGAGTCCGACACAGCTGATGGTGATTGGTCATTAATTAAAAACAATTCACATGTTTGGACAAACAATCTCCAGACCACATTCCAGAGCAGCAAAACATGGAGAAGCTGAGGCTTTTCATCTTCCCAGGAGAAGAAATCCTGGCTAAGGCGTTTTCAGAAAATATCCCAGTGACAGTGGAGTGTGCGGGGTGGGGAGCTGGGAAAGCAGCCATTTATTTTGTGATAAAGGCAATATAAAGAATGAAGCTGTGAGGGCACTGGAGGTCAGTTCTGATTTTGTGTCGTGAGTAAAATATCTGCTTGGGTACAGCCCTTGAGACAGCACCAAAAAATAACCCAGAAGCTACCTGGGGAAAGCTGTGCTGCATCCTGCCTTGTGTGCCCCAGGCAGAGGTGTGCTCCTCCCCTGAGCATCTGGGCATGGCAAGGGAGGAGGGAAATGTGCAGTAAGGTAAGAAAACCAAAGAATTTCTTGCTTGGAAATGCTGCGATGAAGCCTGGGGGTAATGGGCAGTGGACAGGAAGGAGGGAGGTGTCACTGCTATGGGACTCATTGTGGCAGCCTGAATGGACTCAGCCCTTTGTGAAGGGCAGATGTTGTCCTTGGAGCCCTTTATTCCCTGCCTTGTGGGAAAGCCAGGAGACAAGACATCTCATGAGCACTTTGAAGCAGTCAAAGGATTATGATACAAAATAAGACACAGCTCAGAGACCAAGCCCCAGCTTCTGCCAGCTTTAATGAGGTGCTGCCTGTTTTCCTGTGCTCTCTGCTGGCCTTTTTCCAGGAGCTGCTATCCTGGGTTATCCCTTTCCTCGCAGGGGAGCCGTGCTGGCACACAGGTAGGCATGGACCAAGCTGGTTGAAGACACTGCAGTGTCAAAACCCATCTTTTTCCCAGTTCCTGAGAAGCCCTGACCTTTATTGCTGTATTAGCACTGATAGCCAGATGGTCTTTTGGGAGTTGGATTCCTTCCCTTTAAATCATTCAGGCTCAAGCACCGTCACTAATGTCGGGAGGAGTTGCAAGGCACACTTCTATTGTCCCAGCAAGAAATGTTATCAATGGGGGAAGAGTCTGGGAAAGGCAGAGAAATCCAAACCCACACAGCCTGCTGCTAATAACCCCTTTGTGGGGCTCTGCTGCTCTTGGGGCACCATGAACTCTGTGGCTTTTTCACCCAGGAAGGCTGAAACGGGCACGTTTCACCATCCAGGGGAGAAAGGGGTGACAAGGGCAGCGACAGAGGTTCACGCAGGGGTGGCTGCAGGAATGCTGAGCTGCAGCTCAGGCCGTGCTGGGGCTCTGGTTTGTTGTACTGTGCCTTGGTTTCCTCTTTTGGGAAATGGAGAGTGGTGCTGAGCTCTTCCACAGAGCCCTCTGGGAGCTGGGAGCTGACCTGTGCCCATGGCAAGAGGCAGGGACGGGGCTCATGTGGCCCTTGTGCTTTTCTGCCATCACCTGGGAGCACATCGGGGTGTCCCAGACATCTTTTATGGAAAATCCTTTCCTTAGGATTTTTTTCCTCTGAGAAGCTGAGAGGCCTCAGGAACAAAATTTAAACAATGGTTATCTGCTGCTGTGGAATGCAACAGGTGCATCTGGGATTGGTCTCATGTGGTTGTTTCTAATTGATGGCCAATCACAGTCCAGCCGTCCAGACTGTCTCAGTCACAAACCTTTGTTATCATTCCTTTTCTATTCTTAGCTACCATTCTGATGAAATCCTTTCTTCTATTCTTTTAGTATTGTTTTAATATAATACATATCATAAAATAATAAATCAAACCTTCTGAAACATGGAGTCAACATCCTCGTCTCTTCCCTCATCCTGAGACCCCTGCAAACACCACCACACCAGGGAGCAGAGTGGAGGAGCAGCAGTGCTGGGGCTGCTGAGAGATTCTCGTCTCCCTGTGTGTTGGGAGCAGTGCTGGGAAAGCTTTTATAGCCAGGGAAATGAGGGAGGTGAGGATGAAGCCAGCTCTGACCTCAGTTTCAGGGGGAATGTGCTGATGGCAGCAATGACACTGCCAGAGTCCCAGGCAGACACACCTGGGGGGGAAATCTCTGGATTATCTTTGGATTATCTTTGGATGCTGTTCAAAATGATAAACCCTGGTAAACTGCTGGGTCTGTGTGTCACTGCTGGGTGATCTGATCTAATGGTGAAGGTGCACAGATTTCAGCACCACAAATCCCTGCAGTGTTAGCACATCCCCTCCTCACCCTCCTGTTCTCACAGCTTCCTCCCTGGAGGTTCTTGGCCAAGGACCTGTTTGAGGTGACCCCTAATTATCCTCTGGCAGCTCTTAATTGAGGAGCCACTGCTTCCTTTGGTGTCTCCAAGATGAAGATCCCTTCTCCCAGCCCTAACCCTGCCCTTAACCCTAACCCTAATCCTGCCTATCATGCTCTGCTCGGGGTCCTTCAGTGACATGAAACACAGAAAATAATATAAAAATTGTTTGGCTGGAAGGAAATATATAAAGAAATAACCATGACAAACTTGTTATTCAGGACTGGTTTCTGTTCCCACAGGGAACTCTGCATGTGAACCAGTGGAGTGGGAGTCAAGGGAAATCTGCTTCTTCCAGGGGAAAAGGTTATGTTGTTATTAGAACTGTTGTATGAAATATTCCATTAAATGTCATTAACATGGCATTATCTTGCCTCCTTGAGACACCAGAACCCACTAAAAAAGGGGTCTTAATACTGTAAAGTCCATTCTTCACAGATTTAACCTTTTTAATTAGTTTTTCTTCAGATCCAGAATGTTTAATATACTGCCATTCCCAGGTGCATGAGTGAAGGAAAGTGGACTTTGATCATTAAGAAACATGTGAGACAACTTGATCTGCATTTTTAGGGTTGTTAGAGCCAAAAGCAATTTTCTATAGCTGCTTGTGTGGTGACCCCCGAGCAGCCATGCCCCAACCACATAGTCCTTCTACAGAGAGTATCACAAATAATTAAAAATTAAGGAGAATTTATTATTTTTCTGCCCAGCTGAAATTCCCACAAGTCACCTCTCGGCACATTCAAGAGTGCACAAGAGGGATTTATTATTTCCTGGTATATTGACTCTGAAAGGTCCGGGGATTACAGCTGCTTTGCACATGAATGGCTGGAGTGTGTTGTACAAAAGGCATGGTCTGTGGGATAATGGGCTTGGATGTGGGAAAGAGCTGACCCTGGGGGAGAGCAGGCTGGTGCCTGATGGCAGGAATCAATTATGGCTCAAAGGAACACATTGCCCTGGGAGCAGGCTTGGTGGGAGCCACCATGGGCTGTGTTTATCACCCTCCTCCTTCCAAACCTGGAAAAAACAACCAGGGGATGGATTCTGGCCTTCTGCTCCTCCCTGGGACTCAGGGCTGGGTTGCTGAGGAGTTTGGAGATGCTGCTGCTCCCCACCTCTGGGATGGGGCTGAGGGATCTCCTGTCACCCTGATTTTTTAAGATTTTCTGAGCCTTCTGATGTTTACATTCCTGCAATGAACTTTCTCACACGCTCCATTTAAATAACTTATTGTTTTGCATTCTTTTATGGAGGAGGAGAAATTTGATGGGCTGTCGGTTTGTCCAGTGTCATTGGAGAGGTGGCACTGTCACTTTTGGAAAACTATAAATTGTTGGAGCCAGAAAATAAAAAGTCCTAAAGTCCTTTTTGCCTTGGAAAGAGCAGCGAGTCTGTGTCGTTTTGTGTCCTGTAGTGACAGATCTCCCACGTGCAGCCAGATGGGTTTGAGGTTCCTCCCAACCATCCTGGTGTTAGGAAAATTAACCCACAAACACCAGAGGTTTATGTCCAAAAAGGAGACAGAGGAGCCCTTTGAATTTATTCCAATAAAGGGAGAGGCCATGGGGCATCCCCTGGGGTCTCTCCTATTTTTGGAGGATGCAGCCTCCTTTTCATCCCAATTTCCAGCCACAATTCCCTTCTCTCTTTCCCCATTTCTGAGGTACTTGAGAGATTCAGACTTCCTGATACACCTGATACCAAAGATTTCCCTCTATTGTATAACGCTCCCTTTTCATTTTTAATTCTTATGGAATTTAGGGGTTTTTCCCCATTTCTGAGGTACTTGAGAGGTTCAGACTTCCCGATACACCTGATACCAAAGATTCCCTCTAATGTACAACCCTCCCTTTTCATTTTTAATTCTTACTGAATTTTGGGTTTTTTTTCTTCCCCATGGTTTCTTTCATCTCTCAATGTCTAATTTCGTTTATCAGCAAACCCAAAGTTTATTTGTAAAAGCAAATATCTCTTTTTCCATTCATCAATCAGTGGAATCCTTCCCATTGTTTCTTTTCTCTCCCAGTGCTGGTTTTATCCACCAGCAGCCCCACAGCTGGTTTGTAAACACAAATCCACCATTCCTCTCAACTGGGAGCTCCCTGAAAGTCCCCTGGAACTCCCCATCAGTCACCTGCCCTGTCCTGGCCAAGGGAGGACACAGCCTGTCACTGACAATGCAGGGTGGACAGCAAACAGAAGCTGCTGGGTTCATGCACTTCTGTCACTGTTTGGTTTTGGGTGAGTTTTTTAGGAGACGGTGGCACCCAGCCCTTACAATGGGCTCTGCGCTTCTGGGGGTCTGGCAGTGCTGCCAACCTTCCAAATATCAAAATTTGGGCTCTGGGGAGCCAAGAAATAGGCTGAACATCACAGAGGTTTAACAGAAACAATTTGATGTTTCCCATAAAAATAAAAGCATTTTGATGGAATTTTTATTTATTCTTTTTTTTTTTTTTTTTTTGCTGAGCATTTGGATTGATAGAATTAATTTTCTCTCTTTATAGAGTTATGAGGCTTGGATGTGAAGTCCTGCTGAAGGCCCCAAGTATTATGAGTGTCCTGATAAAAGCCCCAAGACTCAGCAAACAGTGCTGCCAAGCTTTTGGCAGGGAGCAGGTGTCCTGCAGAGAGGATATTCCAGCAGAGCAGGTTGGGAATGGGACATGTGGCTCCTGAAGCCTGGCCCCAGCAAGCTCTTAGTGTCATTAACCAGAGGGGAACGGTGTTTCTGTGCCAGGCAGGAGGATCCTGACAGCACCAGCAATTAACCCCATCTGCATGGGGCAGATATTTAATCACCCAGAGGCCACAAGGGCAGTGCTGGGAGATAAGAGCCAGAGGCTTCCTGGGTGTCCCCTGAGCCTCCTTTGCTTGTCCCTGCCTTGGGAACAAGTCTATGGCCTGAAGAGTCATCTCCCTTATGCCCCACTGGATTGCTCCTTTTCCCTCGAGCTCAGCCTGGGTTTGGGGTGAGTTTTGGGGTGGGTTTTGGGGTGTTAGCTCCCACTGGAACTCATTTTCTCATGCTTGGCAGCCATCAGTCACCAGCTGCAGAGCCCAGAGTGTCCCAGAGCTCCTGTGAGGTCTTGCCCTGCCAGGCAGGTGGGTTTTGGAGACATCTTTGTGTTGTGGTCCCAGGACAAGGGAGGAGATGAGAAACTTGACTCCATGTTTCAGAAGGCTGATTAATTATTTTATGATATATGTTATATGAAAAGAAAATAATATATTAAAACTATACTAAAAGAATAGAAGAAATTATTTCATCAGAAGGCTAGCGAGGAATAGAAAGGAATGATAATAAAATCTTGTGACTGACCAGAGTCTGAGACAGCTGGACTGTGATTGGCCATTAATTAAAAACAACCACATGAGACCAATCAAAGATGAGCCTGTTGCATTCCACAGCAGCAGATAATTATTGTTTACATGCTGTTTCTGAGGCTTCTCAGCTTCTCAGGAGAAAAATCCCAGCAAAAGCATTTTTCAGAAAATATGTCAGGGACACCTTTGCCACTCTCAGCTGGCAGCGGAATGAAGAGAGGGTGTCTGATCAAAGCAAGAAGGGCTTTCAAGAGGTGGAAAATCTGCTCCTGAGCCAGGCAAAGGACTGGCAGAGGGGCACACACAGGAGCTGCCAGGCCATGGGCAGGGTTGGGTGCTCTCATCTCCATCCACAGGACAAGGCACGTTGTCAGGTTTCCTCATATTCCCTCAGGAGTCCATTCAGGGCCCACTGCATCCCTTCCCTGAGGAGCTCCAATCCCAGGACAACCATCCCTGCTGGAAGCAGCTGAGCAGAATTCCATGGTGCTGACAGACAGACAGACAGACAGACAGACTTGCCCAGGGACTAAGCACAGCTGCAGGGGTATGAATAAGCAAATGAAAACTTAGTTTACTTTCTGGAGAGATGGAGTTATTTTCTGTTGAGCACAACAATAAGTATTTCCTGATTGGGGATTTATCTTCCTTTCCAGCTGTTTCATGGGCTTAGAAAAATTATGCTAAATAACGTTTTCAAAGCCCACTGCTGCACCTGAGGGCAAAGGAGAACTTTGGTATCTGCTTATCTGGGTGGTGCATGGCTGTGAGTGTGGTCCAGCCTGGAAATCCAATTCCTCCCACAAGCAAGGGAGCTGGCCCCATTCAGAGATGCCAAAGCTAATTAAAACAAAAGTTGGTGCTGAGCATTTTTGCAAACCAGATGTCTCAAACAACCTCCTGGCCATAGAAGCCTGGGACCTGAAGGCTGTTTGAAATCTTGAAATCTTGGTTTTTCTCCCCTCAGCCTCATTTTCCCTCCTTTGTGAACCACTGTGCTAATAATACATCCTCACCCACGGAGGAGGTCGCTGAGAATTCATTAGCTGGTATTTGTAAAGCACTTTGAAAATGCAAAGCCAGTGCATTATTCCTACTCTTCTGGATGCTTTCCATGTTATTAAAATCAGGATTTCAGAAAGGCTTATCTGGGATCAAAACAGCATCCCAAACTTGAAAGGAAGCACGACTGTTAAACCATCAAGTGTCGCCTCCCCCTCCAGCCAGATGTTAAGCCCCAAAGAACTGAAGTGGCACAAGGAATTACTTTCCCAAGTTCCCCCAGCTGGCCTGACAGGCCTTGATCAATGGTTTTCTCCACGGTGAGGGCTATGCAGATGGTCTGCCCAGAGCAAGGTTTCTGTGCAGTACAAAGGGAAGTCAAACACCATTTCTAATTCAGCTTGTAGCATGGCACACTTCCTTTATCCTGAGCCTGAATGCCCTGAATGGGAGAGCAGTGTGGGAAACTGGAGGGAACTCCACACTCACCAGGGCTGTGGGGCTCTGAGACACCCCTGTCCTCAAACCACATCTGCCTGTGACAGCCAGGGGGGGAAAGGAGTGACAGATCGAAAAATCAGATTATAAAACCTGCACGGAGGGAAAGCAAACCATGAGGAAAAAGGAAAAAAAAATAAAAAAATTAAAAATAAAAAGGGAAGGAAGCTGTGAAGGCAGACAGAAATTGCACCAGCCAAGCAGCAGGACAGGGAAGGGCAGGGAGGAAATGTAGGGAAGGGTTAGGAGGAAAGATGGGAGGAAATGACAGGGAAAGGAGCTGCAGGGCAGACTTGCTCATGCACCAAAGCCAGCTGTCCCACTGGAGGTGGCAGAGGTGGTCAGATTGCTCTGAGAATTCTAATCCACATCCCCTGTTTGCCTCTTTAACTCCCCAATCTGTTTAATACATCTCAGGAAATGCAGCAACTCCTGTGGAGCATGAAGGTATTGTGAGAGTTTTGTATGGCCCATGTGGAGCCATGGGAACTGAGAAAACTCAGCCAAATTTTATACCAGCAATACCAGCTGGAGAAAAGAAATGAGAAACAACAGATCTGATTCTTGTTTTGGTATTTGGCAGGAGAAAATGCAAATTTTGATTAGGTTTTGCTAAATTCTGAGGTAGTCATGGAGGTAATTTGTATTTACAAGTTTACAGAGATCAGAAATAGCTCCAGAGGTAGGAAGTCTGCAGAGCAAATCTTGGAGTCCAAATTCTCTGTTGGCCTCAGTGTGGATCTCAGTAAGGCCCTTGGGATTGGACCAATTTTATTTCTCACCTCAGGATGCTCTGCAGGACTCAGCACTGGCTAAATATCCCAATTTTGCTGTTTTTCCTGTTCCCAGTTCATCTCTGCCCCTGCTCCCCTTTCTGAATGACTCACCAACGCACAGCTGGGGAAGTTTGCTGGGGAAGTTTGCCTTGCTCCTATTCTGGAGTTTCCCACACCTTCCTTAACCGCATTGCCTCCTGTCACAAAGGAAGTGTGCCCGACTACAAACCACATTAGCAACGGTGCTTGGCTCTGCTTTGTGTTCAGTGGGAAACCCCTGCTCCCAAAAGGCCATCTGGGCAGCACGGGCTGCCAGGGCAGCACTGGGAGCATCTCTGCACACTTGGGAAAGCAGCACCATCCTTAGGGCTTTCTAAAGGGCCAACATCTGGCAGGGATTCTGGGGCAAGGCTGTTGTGGATGCCCTGTTTCAAACATCCAGATCTGTGGTGTTTGTGGGGTCCCCAGGAGGAGGTGAGAGAGGAGAGTCTGGCTCCACGTTCTCAGAAGGCTGATTTATTATTATATTATATTATATTATATTATATTATATTATATTACATTACATTACATTACATTACATTATATTACATTATATTACATTATATTACATTATATTACATTATCATATAATTATATTAATAATATAATTATATTATATTAAAGAATGCTATACTATACTAAAAATATATACACTACATATATATACTATACTAAACTAATATATATACTAAACATATATTATATATGTTTTTTTACTATATATACACCGTATATATTTATATAAAATATATTTTATTTATATATATTATTTTTATATATTAAATATAATTTTATTTATTAAATATATTTTATTTATATAGATTATATATATTTACATAAATATAAATATAAATATATATATTTATACTATATATACACTATACATATATAATATATATAATATAGTATCTATATAGTAGTGTGTATATACAGTATATATAGTATATATGTAGTATATGTAGTATATATATACTGTATATATACACACAGTATAGAATAGTATATATATACTAAATATATACTATACTAAAACTATACTAAAGAAAGAGAAAATTAATTTTTTAAAATTTTTTTTTAAATTTTTTTTTACTGGGCATTTGGACTTTGTGTTCAGCTTCCTCAGGTGCAGGTTCTGGGTCAGTTTGGATGCTGGTGGGGAGGAAATTCTGAGCACTGGGCCAGTGCACAACCACTCCCAAGAGCAAGGAGGGTGAGGCTGACATGGCTGTTCCATGGAATTAATGTAGTTTTTATCTGGGTGCTGAGTGGAGAATCACAGGAAAGCAGCAAGAGGGAAACAAAAATTGTCTCTAGCAAAACTTCCCTGCCCATCCCAGGACTGGCACTTTTCTTCTTCCTGTGCTCAGTTAATGAGCTGGAGTAATGAGTCCCAGCTCTGGAGTTTCTGTTTCAGGGAATCTCCCTGAGAGGGATGCTCAGAGGGGAAAATTGGTTTCAGAGGTGGAGGAATTAATGTAGTTTTTATCTGGGTGTTGAGTGGAGAATCAGAGGAAAGCAGCAAGAGGGAAACAAGCAATTTTCTCCAGCAAAGCTTCCTTGCCCATCACAGGACTGGCACTTTTCTTCTTCCTGTGCTCAGTTAATGAGCTGGAGAAACGAGTCCCAGCTCTGGAGTTTCTGTTTCAGGGAATCTCTTGCACAGAGGGCAAGATTGGTTTCAGAGGTGGCATTACATGGGCTCAGAGATAATCCACAGGCTTTGAGGAGAACATGTGAAACGGTGTCACAAAAGCTTTCCCACAAGTTGACATAAAAGACCCTGAGCTCAACAGCTGCTGCTCTGTGCTGGGAGAGGGGAGCCCATTCAGGGCAGCACAATGGGGATGGAAAAGCAGAGCCTGGAAGAGGTCATTGAAGCCTTACCTGGTGCACCAATAATGAGCTGCAGAAGGAGGGAGAAATGTGTCCCTGTGCTCTGGGGGTGTGCGTTCACATTGATGTGGCCACACACACGTGAATGTAAAGGTGAGCTCACCTACAGGTATATTAATGTGAATACAACTGGTATTTACTCACTGCAGTAAGAGCTCCACAAACATAAACCCTGACATTACCTGTTGGATAAATTGCTGGCAGATTTGGTTCAAGTTTTCCAGCAGGAATCCCTGGCTGTGTTTTCATCAGCTCTCCCAGCTGCAGGCACCTCCTGAGCACAGACACAGCAACTGGCCCAGGGGAGGATAATGAGGAATCAGGAATTGGATTTCTAATAAGTTTATGAGGGTATAAATCTCTTCTGCACTCAGTTTTCCTTTGTTTATAGACTAAATGAAAATAATTAGAGTAAAATGTGATTTGAGGAGGAAGCAAGAGGTAGCATGTGACACTGAACTGATTCTGAAACAATCCCAAGACCCTTCTCCACAAGTATTTGTCTTGCAGGTATTTGGAAACAGAAACATAAAGCACCTATGAGAGTTTTCTAAAAGGCTGCATAAGGACCTGAGGGAAGGGAATATTAGGAAAATTGATCCACAAACACCAGAGGTTTATGTCCAAAAAGGAGACAGAGGAGTCCCTTTTTACTTTATTCCAATAAAGGGAGAGGCCATGGGGCATTCTCTCTCCAATTTTTGGAGGATGCAGCCTACTTTTTATCCCAATTTCCTGGCTTCATTTCCCTTCTCTCTTTCCCCATTTCTGAGGTACCTGAGAGGTTCAGACTTCCCAAAACACCTGATACCAAAGATTTCCCTCTAATGCATAACCCTCCCTTTTAATTTTTAATTCTTATGGAATTTAGGGGTTTTCCCCATTGTTTCCCTTTATTCGAATAAAGTAAAAGAACTCCTCTGTCTTCTTTTTGGACATAAACCTCTGGTGTTTGTGGATTAATTTTCCTAACAGTTATCACCTAAAACTATATTTAACACACTACTTAAGAAAATTAATACAACATTACTTTCTAACATAACACATATAATATTCATTTTAATATTTGCAAAAAGCCAATCATAAACCACGCATTTTTCACAATATCCACTTTAATATTTGCGAGAAGCCAATCATAAAATACACATTTTTGCATGACCTAAAACTATATTTAACACATTAAAGAAAATGAATACAACATAACTTTCTAACATAACACATGTAATATTCATTTTAATATTCGCAAAAAGCCAATCATAAAACAGGCATTTTTCACAATATTCACTTTAATATTTGCAAAAAACCAATCATAAAATACACATTTTTGACGATATTCACTTTAATATTTGCAAAATTCCAATCATAAAATACGCATTTTTCACAATATTCACTTTAATATTTGCGAAAAGCCAGTAATAAAATAATATGCATTTTCCACAATATTAATTTTAATATTTGTGAAAAACCAATCATAAAATGCACATTTTCCACAATATTCATTTGAATATTTGCGAAAAGCCAATCATAAAATAGGCATTTTTCACAATATTCACTTTAATATTTGCAAAAAAACAATCATAAAATACACATTTTTCACAACATTCACTTTAATATTTGCAAAAATTCAATCATAAACTATGCATTTTTCACAATATTCACTTTAATATTTGCGAGAAGCCAATAATAAAATAATATGCATTTTCCACAATATTAATTTTAACATTCGCAAAAAGCCAATCACAAAATACGCATTTTCCACAACATTCACTTTAATATTTGCGAAAAGCCAATCACAAAATGCGCATTTTCCACAACATTCACTTTAATATTTGTGAAAAGCCAATCATAAAACGCACATTTTCCACAATATTCATTTTAATATTTGCGAAAAGCCAATCACAAAATGCACATTTTTCACAATATTAATTTGAATATTTGTGAAAAGCCAATCATAAAATGCGCATTTTCCACAACATTCACTTTAATATTTGTGAAAAGCCAATCACAAAATGCACATTTTCCACAACATTCACTTTAATATTTGTGAAAAGCCAATCACAAAACATGCATTTTCCACAATATTCATTTGAATATTTGCGAAAAGCCAATCATAAAATGCGCATTTTCCACAACATTCACTTTAATATTTGTGAAAAGCCAATCACAAAACGCACATTTTCCACAATATTCATTTGAATATTTGCGAAAAGCCAATCACAAAATGCCCATTTTTCAGAGGCAGGAGCTGCCGGCGTGTGCCTGGTGCCTGCTGCAGCGTGCGCCTGGAGCAGCAATCCCTCCATGGGCAGCTGACCTTCCTCCTGCCTCCTCCTCCTCCTCCTCCTCCTCCTTCCTCCTCCTGCCTGTGACCCCCGGGCTGCCCCTGGAATGCCACAGATCCCTGGCATTAGTCAGCAGCCATCCCCAGCCCTTTCCCAGCTCCTGACACGCACACGGAACCGCGCTCGCGGCCTTTCGGGGAGCGCGCACTCCCCACCTGCTCATCTGGGAGAAGAAGAAGGTCATTATCCCCTGAGCTATTCAGTGCCACTGGAGCATGCAAGAATAGCTGCTTCTGCCTTTGTGCTGCCCCGTGGCAGGGATTGGCTGTGGAGTGTGGGAAACGCCGCCGAGCCGCAGACCCACACGCTCAGGGTGTATAAATATCAGCTACGGGCAGCTCCCAGCAGCACGTTCCTCCTGGATTCCGCTCCAGATCCTCTCTCTGCTCAGGACAGATGGCTCCCAGCGCTGTTTTCCTGGAGCCCGACAGCCTGCTGACACCAAAGGAGAAAAACAAAGTAAGTGCAGGCACAGCAGAGCAGTTTGCACCAGATGAGACCTTGCCTGGCTCTGCTGAGGAGCAGCGGTGGGCAGCAAACAGCCCTGGGGAGGGTCAGGGACAGGATCCTTTCATCACAGGGCTCTTTTCCTTTGCTTTTTGCAGCTGAGGAAGCCGGTGGAGGGTCAGGGACAGGATCCTTTCATCACAGGGCTCTTTTCCTTTGCTTTTTGCAGCTGAGGAAGCCGGTGGTGGAGAAAATGCGCCGGGACCGGATTAACAGCAGCATCGAGCAGCTGAAGCTGCTCCTGGAGAAGGAGTTCCAGAGGCACCAGCCCAACTCCAAGCTGGAGAAAGCCGACATCCTGGAGATGACTGTCAGCTACCTGAAGCAGCAGAGCCAGCTGCAGATGAAGAGTAAGTATTGAATTTTCTTGCAGTCTCCATTTTACCATAAATCTGTGACTGTTGTGTGAATCTTGAGCCATGGACAGCTGTTCTAAACTATTCTTTCTTCCCTTCTCCCTCTTTTCCTCCCTTCTCCAGCTGCAGGATCCTTCCATAAAAGCTCCCAGTTTGACTTCAGAGAGGGCTACTCCAGGTGTTTGCAAGAAGCTTTCTATTTCCTCTCTCTCCACAAAGTCCGAACTGAAACACAGACCAAACTTTTAAGCCACTTCCAGAAGAGCCAGGCAGCTGCTCCAGAGGTCTCCTTCTGCCCTGGGAATGCCAGTGCCCTGAAACAAGTGTCTCCAAAGGACAGCAGCCCTCTCTGGAGGCCCTGGTAATCGGAGGAGTCCTCACTGCACAGACCTGTGACAGTCCAGAGGAAGGATCTGACTGCATCTGATAGTCCGGCTCTGATCCTCTCTCCTGTAGGGAATTTTATTTCCCCCCACTTGTTTTATTTATGTGTGAGAGAATGCCGTGCTTTTGACTTCTTTTGGGGTCCTCTGGCAAAAGCTGAGGTGTTCTTGTTTAGTGTTGAAGCTGTGTAGGCACTGGTGCAGTGCTGCCCAGGCAGGGGCAACGTCTTCAGAATGAAGGAGGGTGTTTGTAAATGTTACACTTGTGATGGACAGGAATTGCTGTAGGAGATTTTCTCTGATATTCCCAGTAAGAGCCATCAGCATTGCTCTGGCTTGACTGACAACTCTGGTTGGCTCAGTCACTCTGGAGGATAAATTGATTCCCTTTGGTTCATGCACACTTGATTGAAGTATTTCCCTCTGTTTGCTCATCAGTTGTGCAGCATCAGAAACGGGTTTGGTTTTGGTTTGGATTTCTCTCCCATGGCCCTTTCATAGTCCTGTACATACAGTGTGAGGGATGACCAGGAGTTAGGAAACAATGTGGAATATTTCTACTATTTGATGCTTTTTTCAATTTAGAGAAAGAGTATGTTATTGCTTTATGTTAAAGAAAAGTAGTAGGTAACAGGCTTTATTTGTCAATGTTATACATTTTGGGTGTAAGCTATGCTTTTTTTAGCATTTTCATTATAATAATGATTTTTATCTGTATTGAGTGGTTGAATTCCTGGTGGATGATGTTTCTCCCAGTGCTGGGACTGCCCTATGGCTTACCTGCATACTGTGTATGCATCTCTGTGTGTGTAGAGAGCAATAAAATGCATTTGTGTGCAACTTCTGTGTGGGTCTCTCCATCTGAAGGATGTGCAGCTGCCTGCACCTCTGAGAAAGGTTGTCATTCTGAAGAAATGGGGTTTTTTTGTAAAGCTCAAGGAACTCCCATTCATGTTTACTTTGTACATTCTTGTGAATCCCACAGATTTCTGCAGAATCCCACTGAGCATTCCCTCAGTCCTGTCCCAAAACCCCTCACCTGTCCTGCACCTGCCCAGAACCTGACTCCTATTTCCACACCATTTGGTCACAAATTTAGCCCACCAAGCCAAGTTTTGAGGGGTGGGGTTGTACCAGATTTAGTGAGGTTTGTTCCAGGATTTAAGAGGTTGGTTTTCTGGGCTTTGAGGGGTGAATTTAGGCCAGGATTAGTGGGGTTTGTACCAGGATTTAAGGGGTTGGTTTCTACCAGGATTTGAGGCCTTGGTTTGCCAGGTTTTGAGGGGTGGGGTTGTGCCAGCTTTTGAGGGGTTTGTATCAGGGTTTAAGGGCTTGATTTTCTGGGCTTTGAGGGGTGAGTTTAGGCCAGGATTAGTGGGGTTTGTACCTGGATTTGAGGGCTTGGTTTGCCAGGTTTAGAGGGGTGGGTTTGTGCCAGGTTTAGTGGGGTTTGTACCTGGATTTGAGGGCTTGGTTTGCCAGGTTTTGAGGGTGAGTTTATGTCAGGTTTAGAGGGGCTTCTATCAGGTTTTGAGGGCTTGGTTTTTACCAGAATTTGAGGGCCTGGTTTTCCAGGTTTTGAGGGGTTTGTACCAGGATTTGAGGGCTTGGTTTGCCAGGTTTTGAGGGGTGGGGTTGTGCCAGGTTTTGAGGGGTTTTAACCAGGGTTTAAGGGCTTAGTTTACCAGGTTTTGAGGGGTAAGTTTATGCCAGGTTTATTGGGGTTTTTACCAGGGTTTAAGGGCTTGGTTTACCAGGTTTTGAGGGGTGAGTTTATGCCAGGTTTAGTGGGGTTTTTACCAGGATTTGAGGGGTTGGTTTTTACCAAGATTTGAGGGCTTGGTTTACCAGGTTTTGAGGGGTGGGTTTGTGCCAGGTTTTGAGGGGTTTTTACCAGGGTTTAAGGGCTTAGTTTGCCAGGTTTTGAGGGGTAAGTTTATGCCAGGTTTATTGGGGTTTTTACCAGGGTTTAAGGGCTTGGTTTACCAGGTTTTGAGGGGTGAGTTTATGCCAGGTTTAGAGGGGTTTTTACCAGGATTTAAGGGCTTGGTTTTCCAGGTTTTGAGGGGTGAGTTTATGCCAGGTTTAGTGGGGTTTTTACCAGGATTTGAGGGGTTGGTTTTTACCAAGATTTGAGGGCTTGGTTTACCAGGTTTGAGGGGTTGGTTTATGCCAGGCTTTGAGGGCTCGGCTTGGGATTCGAGGGGTTTTGAGGGGGTTGTGCCACAATTTAAGGGGTTTGTCCGGCTTTGAGGCGTTTTCTCCCATCACACCTGAGGAGCAGAACACTTCCCCAGCTCCACCTCTGCCAGCAATCATGGAAATCCTTGTCTCTGTGGTTCTGCTGGCTGCTGCAGCTGCCCTCACAAATATCTGGCAAAGGAGGAAAAGTTATGTGCCCCACAAATACGAAGAACATCACTGTAAAGGGGCAGTTTTGTAATAACACCCTGAAGAATGATCTGATTTCTCCTGCTGAAAATTCCCCTCCCTGCTTGTTGGTGGGGCTGTTTCCTTTCCTTTGCAGCAGTGCAGGAGTCAGAGGTACCTCTCTTTTTGGGTAATGCATTAAAATCTGATTTGAGAGTGACCCAACAGAGATTCTTGCTCTTAAGAGAGCAGTAGAAGCCTGGCTGTTAGAGTGGAAAGAGTGGGATTTGCTGATAAAAGCTGATAAAAGCTGACTCTTTATACTCTGTGTTTCCCTTTGACGTGGTTTTGATGTTAATGAGGAGAAAGGAGATCAAACAACTCTTCCTGTGCAGGAACTTGGTGCCTACCCCAAAGAAACCAGGCCTGAATTGGACATGGTTTGAACTGTGACACACAATGGGGATGGTTAAAAAACCCAAGCACAACCCCCCCCTTTTTTTTTTTTTCTTTTTTTTTCCCTAAATCATCATGAAGAGAAAGGCAGCTTGAAAATGAAAAGGAGGGTTTGCAAAGGAGTTAATGAAACAGCCCAGTGGCATCTTGTGAAGCATCAAAGTTGGCAATAGCTGAGTGATCAAGGCACTGGGAGTGTCACAAGGGCTGGAAACTCTTCCTTTTTACATCCCCTTCAGGAGCAGTGGGCTGTGTGGAATGCCTGAATTTTTCTTCTTGCCCCATGGACAGTTGACACTTGGTATGCATTAATTGTTCCACTTGTTGCTTGTTGGTGGGAAAAAAATTGGCTTTTTTTTTTTTCCATTTTAAACATTCTGCACAATACACAATGCAGTTTCCAAATGGATTTTTGAACAGAATTTTTTCAGTTTTTAGGAGAAAAGAAAGGAATTGTACACAGCAATTCCATGTAAAACAAATTAAAAAAATTCCATTGTGCCAAGAAAACTATGCAGTTTTTAGTAAATAAAGTTAACATCCTCTGTGTCCACTGTGTCTAAAAATAAAGTTTTTACTGAAGAAAACACATTCTCTTTCTGGAGAGAGAATGTAAGTTCTTCTTACTGATGAAATTTCCTGGTACCTGCAGAAAGGAAAACTCTGAGTTATGTGGGTGTTGGCTTTGCCTTAAGGAAAAGGATTTTTCAGGAAGAGCATCCCTGTGAATGTTTTTAAGGAAGAATTTGGTGAGGATAGAAATGCTTTAGCTATCAGAATTGTTTATAAAGTGAGATGTGGAAGAATCTGGAGAGGCGCAGAAGAAAGCCCTGAATGGGTGTGCTGGGACATCTGGGAGGTGACATCCACATGGCCATGAGGAGTGGAAAAAAAGGGAAATATTGCCTTTTTTTTTTTTCTTTAGGAAAATATGATAGACAAATTCTTTATTTATTTTTTTTTTTTTTTTTTTTTTTTTTTTTTTTTTACCGTGTTGGTTTTTTCCCTGCAGAATTAATTCTGGGTGTTTTTGCAGAGTAAGGTGATTCAGAAATTCTGTGGTTTTTAGGAATGTCTGTGCAAAATCCCAGCTGCTGCTGCAGGTGAGCTGGGAGCTCTGCACAGCCAGGGACAGGGGTTCAGCATCCACCAGGATCGGCAATCCACCAACTAAAAGCGAATTATTTTGCAGGATTCGATGTCTGCACCAGCTGCTGTTCCATGGAGCTAAAAGCTGCTCCTGTGGGATGAGTTTTTGTCTTTTAGGAGCTGGAGCAGGATTTGTCACCAGGTGGCAGCATGGGAGAGGGAAAGGCTTCGGATTCCTCCTGGGGAGCATCAGGATCTTCCTCCTTTTCCCGAGCATAAATAAATAAATAAAGCTTCTCCGAGGCTTCACTGTCTGCCATCTAAAGTGCAGCAAAACACCTCCGGGTGCAGAACTTCGCCCAGGGTTGAGGCATTTTGTGATCGTGGGAAGGTGACACAGCGGTCAGTAGGAATTCAGGGCCGTTTCTGTCATCCCCAGTTGGTGAGTGGGCACAGCACCAGGGCCAGGGGGGCTGCAAGGGGAGGCTGGAGCTCCTGCCCTTGGCACTGGCACAAACTGGCGGCTGGAAAGTGTTCTGCAGGTGGGAGATGGTGCTGGGAAGGATGGGAGTTTGACAAGAAAGTCTCACAGGTGTGTGTGTGCTTGGCAGAAAGATTTTTGAATGTAGAGGCTGATGAAGGAATAGAGATGGAAGCAAGTTTTGATAGAGAAGAAAGGAATTGCTGAGCCAGTCTCACTGGATAACCAAGGAGGCAAAGGGTGTGTTAGTTAGAAGGGGTTTTTATGGCTTAGAGAAAAGGATAAACCCACCCCAAACAAGAAGATGTTTTTACCAAGCAGGAAGAGAGCACAGGCAAACAAGGCAGCAAAGTTACAAGAAGAAAAAAAGGTCTCAGAATTTTCCACTGCAAGAAAACTGAAAAACAACTTCTAGCTTGAACTGTAATGTGCTAACTTTTAGTGATTGGAGAACAGTAACATAAATATGGTAATTATAGTAGTTATGACAGGCTATAGGTAAAAGTTAAGGCATAGATCGGTTCTATGTATTAAGATGATCAGCAAAGAAAAGTCTATAATGCATTGTAACCAAAAGAAAAGTATAGAATGCATTGTAACCAAAAGAAAAGTCTATAATGCATTTGTAACCAAACCCACAGGGTCTCCAGGCCTGCCTGCAGCTGGAGCTGACAGCTGTGGGCACAGCCTCTGTCACCCATGACCCTGGGCTGCTGTAACCTCTCGGATACAATAAACTGCATTTTGTATACAATAAACTGCATTTTGTATATAATAAACTGCATTTTATATACAATAAACTGCATTTTGAAGAGCTGCCTGGAGTCCTGCGTCCCTCATTTTGACTCTGACAAGATGGGATAAACTTACATGAAAAAATAGAGGAATTTCCATGTGCTGTGTGTGCAAGTGTTGATTCACTTGGAATTAACCCCCCCAGGCACATTTTAGGTATCCCTTTAGCAGCTGCATGTGCCAGAACCTTTTAGTGGCCCATCTCCAGGGCTCAGAGATTTTGCAGAGTCACACAGGCAGTTACTGCCTTGTGATTCCTGTGCTAGGAAGAAAAGCATTTGCTGGAATAATATTCAGAACTCACTATTAAATGTTGCAAGTTTAAGATATTCTCGTTATATTAGGATGCTTACCAAGGAAAGCCCCCCATATAGAAATCCTGGCTGAATTCACCACCATGATTTTTTTTTCTTTTAAATTTTATTAAAAATTAATACATGTTACATTTTCAAGTGTAAATACTGAAAAATAGCCTATGGCAAAAGAAAAAGGCACAGGATTAAAACCAGCTTAATTGTTTCCATGGATACACGTCTGCTATTTGGCAAAAGGTATTTTATACACTTTCTACAAGAATAAGCATCATTTTAAATATATCTCTGAAGGGTGGGACCCTGTAATTTAACCATAAAGACAGAATTTGTACTCCTACAATGTGATAATTGTAGTGATGCCTCACTTGAAGGGGGTTCTTTGGAGCAGAGGAACTCAAGTGCAGGAGGAGAGTGCGACAGGCATCTTGACACAGAGCTCACTGTCACCACAAATAGCAATCCATGAACAACAAAGCAGTGATCAAAGTGCAGGGGCACAGACAGCACGAGAGTTTACACCAGCCCTAACCTGGTCTGGGGGAAAAATGCACCAGACCCAGAACCAGAACACTGGAAACGGAGCAGTGGAACAGTCTCAGACAGCATTGCTGAGCCCCCAGAAAGCGGGGCTGGCGTATTAAAATTATTATTCCTTTCTGAAAAATAGATCCGTGGCTGCTTGTTGGTTTCGTTTTCTTGTGTAAGAATGAGTCCTTGTAACCCTGAAGCAGTGTCTCAGTAACAGTCAGGATGTCCTTGGAAACAGTCCTTGAGCCTGGGGACACAGCGTGGCTTCGCCAGCCCCGAGCTCCATCCCCGTCATGCCTGTGAGATTCCCAGTGGCACTGGGGACAGCTGAGGGCTTCCCTGGCTCTCCCTGCAGCAGCTGCCCCTGCTGCTGCCCCTGGGGCTGAGCAGGACACCAGGCACATCCCTGCCAGCAGCTGGTGGTGGTGTCACCAGTGTCCCATCCCGGGTTACCACACGCGGCACGTCCCCGCGGGGTGCATGGCCGTGCCCTTCTTGCAGTGGAACACCTCGGAGAAGGCCTCAAAGTTCTGCAGGGAGCCCATCACCCTAAACAGAGAGAAGGGACTCTCATTTACATGGAAAATTGCTGCTCTGGGGGAACAGAAAGTGGCTTGGGGCCTCATGTTGGGGAAGATGAAACAGGAAAGCCTTATAAATATGATTGCCTGGCAAAAGAATATGAGAATATGGAAACTATAAGTGAGATTGAAATGACAGCAAGCTTTGAGATCACTCAGTTACTGAACAACTGGAAAACAATGGCATGGCTGGCTGAAGGTAATCTCCTTTTAATTACACAACACCCTCTGCTTGCAGGCAGCTCCAAGGGTCAGAGCAGACCCTACCAGCTTGGCAGAAGGGGCCCAAAGAGGAGTTTTTAGGGTTTAAAATGTAACACAGGATGGTAATGTAATGATTCTTATGGGCTGTGTGTAAATGCTATAGGATTTGTATTTTGTACTAGATTGGTTAGTGAGAATTAGAATATTCAGCACAGAAGAAGATTTATGGTATTGTAACGGGAACCTTGCTCTCTTTTACTTTTCCTCACTCTCTCATCCTCTTTACCACGCTCTTGCCTTCTTTCTCTTTACCTCTCTCTCTTTTTTGGGCCTGCTCCGAGCTGTGGCTGGCAGCTCCCAGCAGGGCCCTGCACCCAGGCCCTTTGCAATAAACCCCAAGTTCCAAGCCCTGGATTCAGAGATCTCTCATCTCCATCCATCCCAACTGTCCTACCCCCGATGATCCTACACATCAGAACTTGATTGCAGCTCAGAATATGGGATGCCTTAGGAAATATAAGGTAATATGAGCAATGAAATGCCAGGACAGAGTGGGTTTGGTCCTGCTCTATCCCCTATTGTCACTGTCAGATTTTCTGAAAAACCCCTTCACCAGGATTTCTTCTCCTGGGAAGCTGAGAGGCCTCAGAGAAAAATGAAAACAACAATTATCTGATTGCTTCTCCTGTGTTTGCTGCTTTGGGATGTGGTCTGGAGATTGTTTACCAACAGGTGCATGTTTGATTGGTTTCATGTGAATTGTTTTTAATTAATGACCAATCACCATCAGCTGTGTCAGACTCTGAGGAGTAAGTCACGAGTTTTTATTATTCATTCTTGTTAAGCCTTCTATCTGTATCCTTTCTGTATTCTCTTTATAGTTTTAGTATAGCAATATAATATAATGTAATGTAATATAATGTAATATAATGTAATGTAATATAATGTAATATAATATAATATAATATAATATAATATAATATAATATAATATAATATAATATAATATAATATAATATAATATAAACCTTCTGGGAACATGGAGTCAGATTCATCTCTTCCCTTGTCCTGGGGACCCAGCAAAGACCACACCCTATGGACTGGCAAATTTACCCGCAGGTAAGTTCTCTCCTGCAGTGTCCTACAAGCCATGGGAGAAAATCTGGAAATCACTTGGGAGTTATCTTGTTATCAGTTATCAATTGTAAGTAACAGTAATCTGTTATCAGACTCTCCTGTGCTGTCGTGGTGCAACGGGTTGGATGAAGTGAGTTGTGAGTTAGTAAATGAATAAAACACACCTGTACTTCAGAGGGCTGTGAACATCTGTCTTTATGGACTGACTGGCATATTCTGGTCTGTAGGAACCACACCAGACCTGCACAGGGAGATTCATCATTAATGGCTCAGTATTGGGAATTCATGTTGGGAACCTCTCAGTGGCTTTCCTAAGACCCATCCCAGTTTGCTACGATATCACTGGGGTATGTTTTATAGACAGGCAGAATAGATGCAATTATTTATTAATTAGCTGTTGTTTTATCAAGGTCTGGTGCTCTGGGACAGATCTATCTGCCCTTGATTCCCCCCAGCAAAGTCCAAGGGCCTGAGGCACAGCCCTGTGCGTTCTCACCTGGGCAAAGTTGAGGAAGAAAAGCTGTTTGTGGGACATGTTCAGTCCAGGCAGCCTTGGCTCCTTCCCTTCCTGTTCCAGCCACTTCAAGTAGGCCTGGAAATGATCACAGATCAACTCAGAGGAGCAGCAGGAGGATTTTGAATGGGAGGAGGGATTTAAGTCACCATATGCATTAACCAGCATGCTTCCCTTCTGTATTTGTATACGTTTTCTCTCTCTAATACAAACAGTGCAGAGAATTTTATGAAAAAGCTGTCAGCATAAGCACTGTTGACTTCATGGTCTGTTTCTACAGGAATTTGTATCTGTAAATAAAGTGTTAAATCTCCTCTGCTTCTCTATAGTGATGATTTTTCTCTCTTCAGGTAACTGCTCATTAAATAGCAGATAACAACCTTGCTCAATGTTAAATCCATTACCTGTTATTGTTGCACATTATTTGGCCAATTTGCTTTTTTTAGGTATATTGACATGATGGAGACAAGTTAATGTGCCCTCATGCTGGTTAATTCCCAACATTCTGTTTCTGCAGCCTCTCAGGTGCTGAGACAGGCCCAGAGCATGAAACAAAAGGGAGAATAAGGGTAAAAAGAGATCCAGCACCAGGGAACATCCAGGGGTTCCATGTGCAGGCACATCCCCTCCACATCTGTCCTGGCTTTTAGAACAATCCTAATGAAGTAATTAATTGGAATGGTGTCCCTTAGGGTTGGAATTTAAATTTCTGAAAATTCAGGGTGTACTATAAACACCATACTCAAAACACCAAAGATGAAAGGTTTTACTGTGACATCTGTTAGGGTTCTTTATAGGGAAGAACATTCCCTGCTCACACCTGAGACAGGCCCAAAGCAAAGGGAGAGCTGAGGGCCAAAAGAGACCCAGCACCAGGGAACATCCATGGATTCCATGTGCAGGCACTTTGTGTCACCCCACACATCCCCTCCACATCTGTCCTGGCTTTTAGAACAATCCTAATGAAGTAATTAATTGGAATGGTGTCCCTTAGGGCTGGAATTTAAATTTCTGAAAGTTCTATAAACACCATACTCAAAACATCAAAGATAAAAGGTTTTACTGTGCCATCTGTTAGGGTTCTTTGTAGGGAAGAATTTCCCCTGCTCACACCTGAGCTCCACCTTTGGGCTGCTCCTGGGTGCAAGAATGGCAGCAGGCCATGGGCTCATGAGCTTCCAGGTGTGCACCTGAGGTTTTAGCTTTTAGAATATGCTAATAACATGTTAATTGTCAAATTAATTTAGCATAGAATAGTTCACAGAACAGGTAAAGTTAAGGTTTTAAAGTTGAGGATTACCTTATAAGCCTGTCGCACTCCTCCGTTATCTGCAATATTTTCTCCTAATGTGCTTATGCCACTGACCTGTAAAAATAATAATTAAAATAAAATAAAAAAAGAATGACAGGTCAGTCATACAACAGCCTGACATGCCTGGAGCAGAGGGAAGATGTGACTTTGTGCTGGCACAGGAAAGGAGAGAATGAAATTAGAGAAATCGCAGGGTTAGAGCTGTAGGTTGGAACAGAACACCCACAAATATAACATGGACAGAACATCACTGCACACAGACCCTGGCCTTTCTGGGCCACACCAGCGTCCCCAGTTCATCCCAGCCCTGTAGCAGATGGGGTTTGTGCTTATCCCCCATGGGGATCCCCTGTGAAATTCAATATTTGTGCAAAGCCAGAGCTGTGGCCGTTGTCACTCACGTTCTGTCCCCCTGCCAGCTCCCAGGTGTAATTCCCATACTGGTGCACCATGCACAGGGACTGCTCCTTGAAATGCAGTGCTGAGAAGTTGCTCCACCAGTCCAGCATGTTCCCATCCTTGTCAAAATTCCTACCTGCAGGAAAGCCCAGGGATAAAAGGAAAGTTTTGAGCAAGATTTTAAAGCTGCTGCTCTTGCAGTGTAGCAGCTGGGATGTTGGAGCTGCACTTTCCTCCTTGAATTTAGATGTTCAGAAATATTTTGGGCACAGTTTATTCTCTTTGTCACAAGGGAGTGGAATTGTGGTCTCTGTTATTCCCTGATTTCCTGTAAAATCTGCAGCCCAGGTATAGCTCCAAGGCCTGGTTTTATTTCCATGTGGATTTTGCAGATATTGGGTAACAAAAACCTTCCCTCAGCTCTGAGGTGCTGGTTCTGTGTGACCACATGACAGAACTGAGCTTTATAGAGAATTAAAAGCTGGAATTGCAGTTCTGGAGTTTGTGTTCTTGGTTCTCTGGCTAGAACAAGGCTTTTCTTTGCTCTGGAACTCAGTTTCTGAGGCAGTTTCTCTCATCTGCACAAACTTATTGAGCATAAAAAAAACACATGGAAGAAACTCCTGACTGGTAGAGTCAGAAGTGAGCTTTTCCCCCAAATTCTTTTACATGGCATTTGAGAAACTCTAAAAAGTCAATTTATTTCAAGCATTTGTGTCAAAAAACAAAGTCTCCTGGGATTTCAAGACACTACTGACAGTTGTTCTACCCCAAAAACATTGTTCACAGATTTCACTGTATTCAGGAGCCCATGGATCTGCTTGTTTTGTGTTTCTGATCTGATGATGCTGTAAAAATAACATTTTTTTTCCTGAGAATTGTCATTTCCTCAATTTTTTTTTTAACACCTGCTCATTTCTTGTGCTCTGTTCAGGAAACACTCCCTGCAAAACTTTCCCCAGAGTGTTCTCAGTGTGCTCCTATTGCTGCTGAGCTGGATGTGGCTGCGCAGGGATTTCAGTCCCAGTGCACTTTAATCCCTGCCATTCCTGCCATGAGTTTTGGCTGAAATAAAAACATTTTTTTCAGTCATCTCCTCACCGTTGTCATCGAAGCCATGAGTGATCTCGTGCCCAATAACCATCCCAATCCCTCCAAAGTTCAGGGCCTGGGGCTGGTGCTTGCTGAAGAAGGGGGGCTGGAGAATCCCAGCAGGAAAAACTGCAGAGACAGGGAGAAAGAGGGAAATGCTGTAAGGTGGCTTAATTTTGCATCACTGGCAGGCAGATTGTTTGCTTGGTGTAAGGGTCAGGAAGGAACAGAAAATATAAAATGATTAGAAACAAGCTCATGCCTCATGTGAAATTGTTTCTCTCTTGATAAATGGAAAATGACAAGTTAATAAAGGTTTAATTTAGCACATCTGCAGCTACAGTACCTCCCTGTTTGAGACCCAGGCAGCATTTACATTAAGCTTAGCCTAATTTCTGCAGTCTGGATGGCTCTCAGCAGTGCCATTGCACAGAGCAAACTGCAGGGCTGCCCCATGGGCATGAGGAGCAGCCTGGGACACACTGGGGGCATTCTCTGGGTGCTGGCACTGGGGCTGTGCCAGGCCTTCAAACCCAAGGCTGCTCAGTGACGGGGGATAAAACTGGGGAGATGAATATTCACCAGCAAAGTGCTCGAGCTGAATGGCCAGGCAGCCTTGCCCACAGTCCCTGGATGGGCACAGGCAGGTTTGCCTCTGGATGCAGACCTGAGCTGTTGTGTGGATAAAAGCAGCTGGTTAAAAGGGTTTGAACCTACCTATCTGGTTCCTGTTGGGGGAATAGAATGCATTGACCACTGCAGCTCCAATTATCCATCTGAAAATAAATGTTGCACACAGTTAGTCATGATGGGTTTTTTCCCCCAGACATTTTTGAAATTTAATTCTGGTTAAAAAGTGCAAGGTATATAGGAAAGAATTTTAAGCATATAATCCTTTCAGGGATTATTTATTCATATCTATATCTATATCTATATCTATATCTATATCTATATCTATATCTATATCTATATCTATATCTATATCTATATCTATATCTATATCATCTATATCTATATCTATATCTATCTATACCTATATCTAATTTTTATATATATCTATACCTATACCTATATCTATATCTACATCTATATCTAATCTATATCTATATCTATATATCTATATTTATATATCTCTATATATGTATAAATGTATGTGTATATATACATATATACATGCACATATATGTACTATATATCTATATATATATGTAATATATATATTCTCAGGAATGTAGATATGGATATATAAAGAAATATAATTTCCTAGTTAGGAAGGAAGAACCTTGTAACAAGAAGAAAAACCCTTATAAAGGGATTATATATATAAGGCAAAAATTAATGTAGGAAAAAGGGTGCATTGATCGCAGCTGATACCAGGAAACACCTGATGGCTTCTTTATGTGCAGCTTTCATCCCAAACACACAACATTCAAGGGGCAAAGCATTTTTCATTTTTCCCTTAGAATAGTTTAATTCCTTGATTATCTCAGCCACAGGCATCCCCAGGTGCCCACAGCATGAGCTGAACACCCCCACCATTAACCCAGAATTTAGGCTGTGTCTGTGGCTCTGTCTGGAAACTCACATATCTTGGTCAACTCTCTCTCTCAGCTTTTTCAGGCTCTTCTGGGCTCCAGCTCTCAGGTTTTCCAGGATGTTCTCGAAGTAGCTGTGCTCACTGAAGTTTAACTGCACAAACAGGGATCCAAGCACATTGGTCAGCTGAGCAGGAAGAGGAACTCCTCGTCCCACTGAATGTCCTCTAAAGGACGTTTTGGTTGCATGGTTTCACTGAATAGTTGGTTCTTTGCACCAATTGTTTATTAATGTGTTTATTTTGATGTCCTTGGAAAGGGCAGTTGCACAGGTACAAATATTCCAGCGTGAAGAAAGCAAAGGCAGGGGTTTATTTTGAGGGATTTAGTGAGATATGCACAAAACACTTACATTGGCATATTCCAGGTCCAGTTTCTCATTGTGATCTTCCAAAATGTAATCTGGGTAGCCAATTTGTTCTTTGATTGCCATTGCCTGGAAGAAAAGAGTTGAATGTTTCCTCTTAATTGTGGTTTTTGTCAGTGTGCTGTTGTTGGGTTGTTTTTACTAAAGTTTCAATACAAAGAACAGTTAAATGTTTGGGTTTTTTTCTTGGCTTTGGAATGGTGCTGATGGTCCTGAGGTCAATTAAAAGTTGGAAATGTTTTTTTTTTTTTGGGAATTGTGTCACATCCAGTTGGCATTTTTATTGATGTGGGCTAACAAAGGATTGAAAGGAAAGGACAATGTAACAGGATCATAATGTCCTCTTTTCCTCTTGTTTGTGGAGAAACTGGATATGGTGATACTACAAAATTCCAAATATTTCATGTTTATGGGGGAAAACTGAAGTTCTTTGTTGTGTCTGACCTTCTCACGAGCTTTCTCCTTGGATGCCTCATCCATCCACTGTAACTCATCCAAGGTCTCCACGAACACTTCACGGATCTTCTCTATTAAATCTCGGACCTGAAAGAGAGCCAGGGAGACACTCATCATTGCCATGCCCTATTCCCAGCTAAGGAGGGATGAAAAGCTTCCTGCTGGAAGGCCATGTCTCCAAATTCTGTGCTCTAAACCATGGTACTGAGCACCTGAAAGCGTGGATGTGGCAGCATGGTCCGGGAGTGGAACAGATAACTCTCCCAGGCATTGTTCTGGGAAAAGCTGTGAGAAGCTCAGAGAAAAGAATTAAAACAATTCTTATCTTGGTCTGTGCACCTGGTATTTATGAACGTGTGGAATGTTGTACGTGATTTTTATAGAGAGAGATGTACAAGAAAGTGTTGTTCCTAACTATCCAATGGCATGAGAAATGTTGTTTGAGGACCAATCAGGTTCTGGGTGAACGATCCTGCCCATAAATATGGGGAGTTTGGTAATAAAATTTCGCTTTATGCCTTCAGAGATTTTGGAGTGAAATGTCGTTTGCTTCTCGCTGTTCCTAATACAACAATGACATAAAAGAGCATCACAAATGAGTCCTTGCACCTTCCTGACTGCTGGATAACTCTCCCAGGCACCAGAGGGAATGGGCACTGAGGCCATTGTGGATGTGTTGCTGTTGAGTCAGGAGCAATCACAGCCTCCCAAGGCATTCAGAAGGCTAACTCACTTTATCAGAAAACCCATTCCTTTTTATATTCCAGTCCACTACAGGCGGACCTGATTGGTCCCTTAATCAAAAAACCATCACCATTGGCTAATTAAGAAGACACCCACTTGCAAACAACCTTATGGGCTGTAAACAGCTTATTACAAAACACCAGGTGCAGATTGTTCAGAATTCTTTCTCTCCAGCTCCCTAAAGCCTCCCAGGCCGACTCATGGCAAAGCTTATCTAGCTCTCTCTCTCTCTGACCAGAGAGCTGCCACCAGAGTGGATGTACAGTAGTAGGAAGGGTAAACTACATACCATCCTCTTGCTCTCACCAGCAAAAGTCTCCCGGACATACATGGCTCCCACCGCGTTCTCCAGGTTGTTGTTGACGTAGCTCACGCACTCCCTCCAGCGCGCCTCCTCCAGCGTCGTCCCGTACAGGGCCTGCAGCACCAGAGCCCACATTAACCCAAAGCTCTTCCAAGCACTGCTTGAATTAACCCAAAGGTTTCAAACCGCCACCTAAATTAACCCAAACACTGCCTAAATTAACCCAAAGCTTTCAAAGCACTGCCTAAATTGACCCAAAGGTTTCAAACCACCGCCTGAATTAACCCAAAGCTTTCAAAGCACTGCCTAAATTGACCCAAAGGTTTCAAACCACCACCTAAATTAACCCAAAGCTTTCAAAGCACTGCCTAAATTAACCAAAAGGTTTCAAACCGCTGCCTAAATTAACCCAAACACTCCCTAAATTAACCCAAAGCTTTAAAAGCACCACATAAATTAACCCAAAGCTTTCAAACCACTGCCTGAATTAACCCAAAGGTTTCAAACTACCGCCTAAATTAACCCAAATGCTGCATAAATTAACCCAAAGCTTTCAAAGCACCGCCTAAATTAACCCAAAGGTTTCAAACCACCACCTAAATTAACCCAAAGCTTTCAAAGCACTGCCTAAATTAACCAAAAGGTTTCAAACCGCTGCCTAAATTAACCCAAACACTCCCTAAATTAACCCAAAGCTTTAAAAGCACCGCCTAAATTAACCCAAATGCTGCATAAATTAACCCAAAGCTTTCAAAGCACCGCCTAAATTAACCCAAAGGTTTCAAACCGCCACCTAAATTAATCCAAAGGTTTCAAAGCACCACCTAAATTAACTCAAACACTGCCTAAATGAACCCAAAGGTTTCAAACCACCACCTAAATAAACCAAAAGCTTTCAAACCACCACCTAAAATAACCCACCCAAATTAACCCAAAGGTTCCAAACCACTGCCTAAAATAACCCAAAGGTTCCAAACCACTGCCTAAATTAACCCAAAGGTTCCCACTGCTGCGACTGGGCTCGTTTGAGGATTCCGTAATGTAATCACAGAATCTAGAATGGTTTGGGCTGGGAGGGAGCTCAAAGTTTCGTCTCTTTCCAAAGCCCTGGCAGGGTTTTTGTGCCAAGCAGGCTGGGTTTGGTGGCAGTGGTACTCTCCTCTTGATGAAGAGAGGAAATACCTTCCTGTAGCTGGCCCGAGCGTCCTTGAAGCGCCGGCTCAAGCTGCTGACCCGGTCGATCACCAGCCGCCAGATGAGGTAGTTCTGGATGGTGCTGCGTGGGAAAGCAGAGCTGAGCTTAACCCCCCGTAAAAACCAGCACTAGGGCAGGCAGTCAGAGAGGAATCTCAGTTTTGGATGGAGACAAGGAAGGAAATCATTGCTGCCAGTCCTGGGTGTCACAGCTTCTCATTTAACTGCAGAGTCATCCAGCCTGAGGGTTGGGCTGTCATGTCTGTTCTGGGATTCATTTCTTATTTTTCTTCCTTCTAGAATGTAACAAGAGCTAAGCCTGTCATGTGTTTTTTTCTTCCCATTTAACCTTTTCTAAGCAAGCAGCAAAATGAGACACCTTGTACTGCAGTATTTGGAATTTGAAACCTCCAAGGGCATTTCCTGTATTTTACAGGGGTCTCATTTTCCCTCAGAAGCTCAGAACTAGCAAAGGGGGTCCAATAATTGACATTTCAGCAATCCTTCTCTGACTTTTGTCCTACCTATCCTGCAGTTTCTTTACCTGGCTGAGTACTTGGAGATAATTGCTTTCAGCTCTTGCAGATAAGGCATCCCATACACAACCACCTCTTCCTCTGGGTCCACCTGAACACTCACTGAAGACATGACACGTTGGATGAAGAAGGTCCAGTTAAATTCCTAGGCAGACAGAGAGACATTGCAGTGCTGGATGATTAAATGCCTCAGTAACTGGACTTTTGACAGTCTTATGACCTTGAATGCAGCTTTTAAAGAGATTCTGGAGGCAAAATCAGGAATGGGAATGATTTTGTACCTCTTTGTTGAAGCACTGATCAATTCACAAAGCCATTTCCAACTGGCAAGTAATTAAGAGACCCTGAAGTATGAGACTGCTCATGAAACACTTACATTGAATGCAAACTTTTCCTGCAGCTCTGCTAAGGTCATTTTGTTGTACAACAAGGTCACATCGTGCCTTTCCTCTGCTGGGGTGGTGGCCTGGAGACATTCACAAGGTTATTACTGGAATCAACTGACAGAAATATCAATGGCTGAAATCACATGCAGGTGCACACACACACACACACACACACTCCAATAATATTCAGATTAACCAGTTTGTTTTGGGAAAAGAAAAATCATTTGGTTTTGCCCAGTGCTGCTTCCAAAAATTCAGTACAGGAGCCTGGGTCCCCCCTGTTCAATAATGTTTCAGGGGTGTGTTGAGCCAAGTGGTTCCTTCTGTCCTCTTTAGAGTGGGAGGATTTCTGGGGGATTTTTAGGGTGCTGTAGGTTATTAAGGATGCAAGGGAGCCTGCCCTGGTGTTATTCCAGTGCATGGTTAGCAGAAGGTGAATTAACCTGCTTTAGAAGAGTTCCAAATAGAAATAAGGCTGGGACTGGAGCAGCACAGCAGGCAGAATTAGAGACACAGGGGCTCTGATTTTTGGGCTGCTCATGGCACAGAAAGTCTTCTTCCCCCACTTGTTCTGCTCCATGGCTTTTCTGCTGCATTGAAAACTGCTGCACAAACCAGCAAGAGACTCTCCCCCCCTCACCCCTTGCTCCCCACAGCTTCCTCAGGAGTCCTTGACCTCTCTACTCACATTTGCAATCTCTGTTTCAAGCTCCATGACCTTTGCCATCTCCTCTTGGACAAAGGAATCATCCCTGGACACGTTCTTGTCCTCCCGGATCATTTTGGCAATGGTGATCATGAACTGCAGGTAAGCTTCCCTCACCTGCACTCGGACACAGAGCAGGCAGAAAAGGTTTGCTGTCCATCATTTCATGGAATCCCAGAATGGTTGGGCTTGGAAGGACCTTAAAGCCCATCCAGTGCCACTCCTGTCATGGCAGGGACACTTTCCACTGTCCCAGGTGGCTCCAAGCCTTGTCCAACCCAACCTGGGGCACTTCCAGGGGTGGATCAGCCACAGCTTCTCTGGGCACCCTGTGCCAGGGCCTCACCACCCTCACAGGGAAGAATTTCATCCCAATATCCCCTCTAACCCTGCCCTCTGTCAGTTTGAACCCATTCCCTCCTCGTCCTGTCACTCCAGGCCCTTGTAAACAATCTCTCTTCACCATTTCTGGGGTTCATCTTCACATTTCTCATCCAGCAAAGCATTCTCTTTGTCATGAATACCTTACAGGGCACTTGCCAGCCTCAAAACAAAAATTCTCCTCCTCTGTGCCATGCAAGCCTGGCATTCTGAGTTAGAATTACTGCTTGGGCAAAGAGGAGGCTCTGTGCTTTGCGTTACACTATGGGAACAGCGATCCAAAATTCCAGGGTGAACAGGGAAGGTTTGAGTCCTCTGAAAGTAATACCATAAATCCTCTCAGGTCTGGTTTTAGTGCCTGAAAGGAAAGCTCTGTTTCAGACAGTTCCCAGTGGCACCTTTGCTTTATTCCTGATGGGAGGCTCTGACTGATTTATGCCTCAGAAAGGGCCTTGAAAAGACATTTGGCTGCTGAGGAAGTGCTGATCCCTGATGCAGGAAAACTTGATGCTACCTGCTCTTCTCCTCACATATTTTTCTCCCTCTCTAGAGCCTGGAAGCCAGATAAACACAGTGGCCATGGTGAAATCGAGTCTGGGCACTTACAGATGATGATTTGTGGTTTTAGGCTGAATGCTGAGCCTTAATCAGGCCAGACTCCCCCAGGCCTCAGGAGGAGTTTTGCCAAAAGATGCTGGACTAAGCACAGGGGGAGTTTGGGTCATCAGAGCTGGGCTCATTGTCTGGGGGCAGCGAGCTGGTAAATACAAATAAAAAGGGGTTGTGTCTCCTCCTTGGTCATTAGGATTAAAAGCACAGCCTCAGCCCCCCTGCTTTGTGCCTTCAAATTAAAGCTGTATTGGCCAGAACTGGTTTTCTTTCTCTAATTTAGGATTGTCTCTGCACTCTACCTGATTTCCTACCTCCTCCAAGTCAATCTGTGTCTGACCTTCATGCCCCAATGCATAAATGTCTCTCTTTTCTGCTCTGGGTGCTGCTGTGGAGGTGACACTTGCAGGGGAGATTCCCAGGTCAGCAGCTTTCCACACTTTGCCATTTCCAGATTGTTTTGTCCCAGAACCTGGGAGCACCTAAAGGTGCCCAGAAGGTGTGGGGACAATCCCCTATAAACCTGACAGGGCTATATTTTAGCTAAATTCTATATAAAATGTAGCCAAACACACTGAAGTGAGAAGAAAACTCTTCCCACTGATGTTTTCATCTGCCTTTACAACCACGAGACAAAAGAGTCTCAAATGCTGATTGTTGTCCCTCTGTATTCCCTTCCATTCTTGTTAGGAAAATTGGTTTGATGTTGGGCTGCAAATGCTCTTTGTTAGCAAGGCATAATTGAGGAAAATAAAATGTACTAAAGCAGTATTTTCATCTTGGAAACAGACAAATTATCTGGCTCTGTTTGCAGCAGCTTTCTGTGTATTTACAGAAACAGTGTTTTTGCAGAATCAGTGGTTTTGCCCTGAGCATTGGCAGAGGAAAGCAGCTAGAAAATAATCTCTCACAATTTCATGTAATTTTGGGGGAAGGGGAGGGTAAGTGGCAGCAGATCCTACTTGCTGTGCACCAGGGATTCAGAGGAAGATACAAGCAAATCCCCTGCACTCAAAATGTGAAGCTGTCCTTCAAAATGAGACTCTGTAAGCTACAAAACACAATTTTATTTTCTCATAACCTTCCTCATGAGTTGCCCAGCTCTGGGCAGGCCTGGTATTTTTACCGTTGTTCAGTCCTTTTGTAAACTTTACAAAATGTTGGTTTAATTAGGAAAAAACATAGCAATGAATGTCACAGCCTAGTTGTGATTGTTGCATAGTGTGAAAATTCACGTGCTGGGGTTTTTGAAAGCACAGGGATAAGGAATAAAATTGTTTTAGTGGCTCAAAACAAGGGATACTTACTCTCTGATAGTTGCCCCCATTAAAGTAGTAGTCCCTGGATGGCATTCCCAAACTTGGCTGGTCAATCTGAGGGGAAATGCATTTCTCTGGTTAGTGGTGAACAGGAGCTGGGGCTGCCCAAAGGAACCCTTGAAGGGCAGCAGGAGATGCTGTGAGGGATAAATTCTCTATAAAGAGAATTTAGCACTCGGCGTTGGGGTGACCCCACTCCACACACCCAGAGAATTTGGGCTCTCCTGGGTCTGGGGGAGGTGGAGGGTACAGCTCTTATCTCTGGGTTTCCAGATAACAACAGGGTGGATCTTAGTGTGGGTTATAAAGCAAAATTTTTCAGAAGTCACGGAGACCCAAGAACTAATTTAAGTAACTTTTCTATGTTGCTTGAATTTAGGGCTGGACTTCTTGCACAACCATCCATTAACAAACTCTGAAATACTCTTTATGTGCTTTAAACCCATGGTTTCCTGCTATATATTAAACCTCATCCTCATTTTTGTAAGTCACAAGAATTTACAGCCCTTAAATGCTGTAAATCAGCAAAAGTTCCATTGATCCTTATTTCTTTTGCTGAAACAAAAAATTATGCTGCCATAAACCATTTCCCAATATGTCTTTGAGACAGATCTGACACTGGGGGTACAGAGCTATTATCTACATTTTCCCATGATTGTTCAATGAGAAGCTCCTCTGTCTGCAGTGTAAATAACAATCCATTGTGATTTTCTGGCATGTAAATAATCCCCTGTCCTTTTTTTTTTTTTTCCTTACATAAATGATGTGCCTGCTGGAATCCCTGTCGTCATTCCACACGAACATGTCGATGAGGACACGTTTGTTAAACCTGGAGTTCATGATGGAAAGGGTTTCCTCCATGCTCCAGCTTGGCTCTGGGAGAGAAAAGGGGAAAAAAAATTCAGTCAATTTGTCAATCTGTGTCAGACTGATTGTAGTTGTGCAGTTCACAAGCTGAAATTTTGGAGATCTATTTAAATGGATCAATGAGTATTAAATGTGTGATACTCTGACTTGTGTTTGGGAAGAGGAACTGAAAATGGAAGGATTAATTTTGGTGACAATGGCCTCTCTGCTTCAGTAAATAATTCTGACTGAGCCCTCCCAGGCCCAGCATTACCTCTGGTCTTACTCCAGTCTGCAGAAGCCACTGGCCAATCTCCAACCATCCTCAAGGCCTGCAGCAGGGGCAGGGAATCTCGTTGCTCTATAAGACCTGAGGGAGCAAAGACAAATTCTGCATTGTTTTCATCCAAAAATAATTGTTTTCATTTGCTCTATAAGACCTGGGGGAGGAAAGACAAATTCTGCATTTTTTCCATCCAAAAATAAAATTAGGAAAAATAGGTAACAGGCCTAACAGCTTAAATTTGCAACTGAATGTGTCATAGCAAAAAATAAGAGATGTCCTGAAACCATCCTATGTAAGTCTTCAGAAAAGGAATGAAAATATTTCTGTATAATAATAATTATACATAATAATTATAACTTCTGTGATATTTCCAGGGCTGGTTTGGATTAGGTTGGTTTGGGAAAGACGAGCTGGGCCAGGTTTGTGCCTTCTGAAGGAAAGGCTTTGCATCCACACCAGGGGTGGGTACCCAACATCCACCCTTTCCACATCCCAAATGGGTATTTTGAGGTTTAATAAAATACCAAGGCATCTTCATCCATCTGAAGAGGAATTTTCCAGGAATTAGACAGATATTGACTGGATTTTGCTCAAAATGCTTTGTTTTTTCTGTACAGCTGGTTTTGAACAGGGCAATTGATGGAACAAGAAGACACTCACTCTCATTCATGCAGGACTTGTAAAGGATTTTAGCTTTCTGAAATGCTTCTCTGTCCCCTTGGTCTGAAGTCTCCAGCACACCTGGGGAAGGAACCATTGCAGTGAGATTCGTGCCCTGGAGACCTTTGATCATTTTACAGAAACCCCTGAGGATTCAGGGCTGTGAATTGTAGGCTGCAATTACTGTCAAACTGGAGAGCTCTTCACGCTGTTAATGAAATAAAGTGTCAGGAGGAAGGACCTGCAGACAGCTTGCCCTGCTCCTTTTGGAATCAGCACCCAACCACCTCTGGATAATTTTTAGTGGGAACAGGATGTCCCCACAAAATGGGTGTAGTGATGTAGAGATACAAGGACCAGAGAGAAAAAAAATCCCAATGAACACTTTTGCACAAGATTAATTCTCTGTCTGATGTGCAGTGAGGAGCCTCTGAAAGAAGCAGAGGTTTCTGGGGATGGAGCAGCTTCATCCCTACCTTTGAGGATGATCTCCAGCTCGTCCCTCAGGATGTCAAAGATGCTGTATCTGGAGCTGGTCTCTGGGATCACATGCCTGTTCAGCCAGCCCCCACAGGCATACTGGTAGAAATCCTGGCATGGGTCAGCTGTGGGGTCCATGTTCTGGATGATTCTGGCGGCTGGGCAGCGAAAATGGAGAGCTGAATTCTACAGACTGCCCAGGAACCTCTGGGACTGCTGAAGACACTCAGGGAGCTGCTTGGCAAAACTCATTCCCGCGTGTTATGACTTGAGGAATCCTATTTTCTGCTTAGAAATGGATCTGAAGGGCAGGTGTGGAATGGGAGATCTGAATGGCAGATGGAGAAGGGCAGATGTGGAATGGCAGATGAAGAATTGCAGATGTGGAATGGCAGGTGGAGAATGGTAGATGGAGAATGGCAGATGTGGAATTGCAGATGTAGAATGGCAGGTGTGGAATGGCAGATGTAGAATTGCAGATGTAGAATGGCAGGTGTGGAATGGCAGATGTAGGATGGCAGATGTGGAATGGCAGGTGTGGAATGGCAGATGAAGAATTGCAGGTGTGGAATGGCAGATGTGAATGGCAGATGTAGAATTGCAGATGTAGAATTGCAGGTGTGGGATGGCAGATCTGAATTTCAGATGGAGAATGGCAGATGTAGAATGGCAGATGAAGAATTGCAGGTGTGGAATGGCAGATGTGGAATGGCAGATGTAGAATTGCAGGTGTGGAATGGCAGGTGTGGAATGGCAGATGTAGGATGGCAGATGTAGAATGGCAGGTGTGGAATTGCAGATGTGGAATGGCAGATGTAGAACAGCACATCTGGATGGCAGAAGAGTTGTCCCAGAGCACAAGACCTTGCAGGGAAGAGTGCCCAGTGCTCCCCTGGGCTCCAGTTTAGGCACTGCCCAAAAAAACCCAGTGTTCCCATGGGGGTGTTGGGAACATCTGTGCTGGACCCTCACCTCTCTTGAGGTGTAGATACCACCAATAAAAAGATGAATGCCCCATGAGAGAGAAAATTCAGTCTAAAGGGAATTTTATTCTGCTTATAGACACAGATTGTGTTGGTCAGTCCACGGCCTTTGCCACACTGGCAATTTCCCTGTGCCTCTTATGAATGATATTCCTTACCCAAGGGGAAATCTCATTCCTCCCCATTTTAAAATCTGAATTATCTCTTTTTCAGGTTCAGGACCAGCCCACAAAGCCTCCCCTGTGCAGCAGGAATTCCCAACGCCCCATTACCTGCTGTCACACACCCAGGGGTGGTACAGATGTCGCCCGAGTTGGTGCCATAGCGGGAACCTGCAGGGAGAGGAGGAAAACAGATGGAATTACTTGTTTTGGAAGGGAATTCCTCCCAAAGTCACTCACCAGAGCCCAGTCCCAGTGACAGCTCAGTGGTTTGAGAGCAGGAGAGTGAACGTTGGTGCCTGTCAGAGACATCAGATGACAACTGTGAAGAAATCTGGGGATTTTTGAGGAAAATTTATTGGCAGCAGCACTACAACAGCCTTGACAGTGAGTTTTATCTCTCCTGGAAGGAGAATAAGACCATCTTTTCTGCCTGCTAACTGCCTCCACAGCCTACCCAAAGTGTGGGACCCTTTTTTAGATAATCCATTAAAATGCTCTGAGCATCTTTGAAGTCAATGACACTGAGAGGTTTAAACAGGGGGCAAAAAGCCCAGAGCTGGGTTGGTGCTGCTCTGAGTCACCAGGATCCAATTTAGGAAATTAAATGGCATTAATTTCTCCAGGAATTTGTGTGCTGGGGAGGGCCAGCCTGTCACAGCCTCCTTTGGCCACAGTTTCACGAGGATCTGGAATTTTCAGTGCAGGAACAAGGAGACTGTGTGGACCTGTGCTCAAATTTGAGTTCAGCATGGAAAAGGCCACTGAAGTCCTGCCCTTGACTGTTCATTTTCTATTTCCGAGTGCTTGCTTTGTGAAGTTCCCCCAGTGCAGAAGACTCCCAAAAAAGCCATGCACACACATCATTTTTGGTGCTGAGTATTCAAGTGAAGGTTCTGGTGATGCTGGGCAGGTGTCAGGTCCCTCCATGAGCTGCACTGGGAGGGATCTGAGGGATCTCCTTGGCCCTGGGAAGGAAATTAATTTTGCTGCTTTAATTTCCCATTTAAGAAACTGGATGTCTTGCTTTACTACCCACTTATATCAAACAGGCAACGATGTGGTTCCACTCTGAAAAACAAAATCTCCGTCCTTTCCAGCAGATTTAGCCATTTTTAAGCTTTGTTTTTGATCCTTGTTTGCAGAAAAGGGTTACCAAAAAAATCACTTTCAATGCAAGTAAGTGCTTTACATGAGAGCAAACAAGATTACAGTAATTCAGAGGGAAATGAAACAGTGGGGGAGAAAAGAGGGCTTTGAAGTTCATCACTGGAAGTGCCATAAAAAGCCCCCACTGTGCTGGGGAATGTCCAGGGTTCAGCTGAGCGTGGCTGTGCTGGGTGGGAGCACATCTGCAAGAGACAAATTCTGTGTATTCTGTGTCCTGCCCTGAATTTGGGATGTCCTGCCCAAATTCTGTGTCTGGCAACCTGAACAGGGGAGGAACAAAATACCTGGAAAAATGGGAAGCTTCATAGAGATAGCTATATTTTTCTTTTTCTTTTTTTTTTTCCTTATTTCTTTTTTTTCTTTTTTTTTTTTTGGTGTTTGTTTCAGCATTTGTTGGGATTTTTTTTTGCGTGCCAAATTTTTGGAGTTTCTTAAACCCTCTCATAATTAACCAATTGGCAAAAATCAAACCTAAAAGCTCAGGGAATCTCCAAGGGGGAAACAAAACACTTGGAGGAAAAGAAATGAGTAGTTCAAGGACAAAAAGGAAAGGAGCAATAGCAAAGAGCAAAGTGAGGAAGAAAAAATTGTACTACAAGAATTTTGTAGTAGAATCTGTTAAATTTTGTGGAGACAATTTCTCATTGTTTCCCAGGCAGGACTGAAATGATTTATTTATTTATTTAATTCAAAAATCAAAGCTTCTCTCTGTACTATAACCTGACAATGTCTCTCTTCATTTTCTGCTTTGAGTGAGGTTCGAGCTCCCTTCCCTTCCCCAGGGCCTCGTGGCTGTGATGCTGTAACTGAGCAGGATGAGCAGGGGAGCCAGAGTTTGGAATTCCAGGGCTCTGAAACTCTGCCCCAAACCCAGGCCATGGGAAATGGCTGGGGAGGAGATCTCAGTTTACCTGGAAAAGTGTCTCCTTTGTTCCTCTGTCAATTCTGATCTTTCATTCCTCAGGACCTTTCCTGCCACAGCCTCTGGTCATGACCAGCTCTGCCCTCTTTGGCTTTGCGGTCTCAGATCTTTGCTCACTCAGCTGGAGCTTTTCACCTCCCAAAAACTAGAAACGAACTTAAAATGCACCTTCTGAATTCTCAACAGTTCTGCCTTTTGTTTTCTCCATTAATTTTCTAGAACAACAACCTGAGTTTTCAGTAGAGACACAGGTATTTCTCTTTTTATCAGAATTAATTTTCTAGAACAACTGCCCAAGTTTTCAATAGGTGTTTATGTATTTATCACTGGTATTTATATATTTATATTTATATTTATATTTATATTTATATTTATATTTATATTTATATTTATATTTATATATTTATTTATAGCTAATCTATATATTTATTTATTTTCAATAGTTATTTATATATTTATCACTTGTATTTATATATTTATATTTATATTTATATTTATTTATATATTTGTATTTATTTATATATTTATTTATATATTTATTTATTTATAGTTAATTAATATATTTATTTATTTTCAATAGGTATTTTTATATTTATCACAGGTATTTATATATTTATCTCAATTAATTTTCTAGAACAGCCCAAGTTTTCAGCAGAAACACAGGTATTTCTCTATTTCTCTCATTAGTCTTCTAGAACAACAGCCCAAGTTTTCAGCAGAAACACAGGTATTTATTTACCTGGATTAATTTTCTAGAACAACAGCCCAAGTTTTCAGCAGACACACAGATATTTCTCTATTTATCTGAATTGATTTTCTGGAACAACAGCCCAAGTTTTCAGTAGAAGCACAGATATTTCTCCATTTATCTCAATTACTTTTCTAGGACAACAGCCCAAGTTTTCAGCAGACACCCAGGTATTTCTCTCTTTGTTTTCCTCCCTGGTCAAGCCTTGCTGACAGGCTGAGTTGCAGTGATGGAGGGGCTCCTGCTTTGGCATCCATTTCAGCCTGACACAGCAGCAGCAGAGAATTGATCAGGCAAGAGGAGCTTTAATGGAGATAAATGCAATGCCCTGAGCTGAGGGACTGCTCCAAACGGAGGAAAATGAGGGAAGTGAAGCGCTCCAGAGGTGAACTGCTCACCTGAGAGCTGGGAGATGCTTCAGCACCCTGGGGGCACTCTAGAGGATTTTATTGTCTTAATTTGGCCCCACAAGGAGCCACTGAGCCCTGTCCTGGCCAGCAGCAGGGGCAGAAAATCAACTTGTGGCATCTCTGCAGCCCCATGAGCAGCTCAGCTTTGGGGTGATGGTGCTTTGCAAACCCAAACTGCTTTTTCAGAGCCTTACTGCAGCTCCTTTTAAAGAGAATAAAAGCCAAGCCTTCAGCAGGGCTCTGGAGGACACAGCTTGTGCTTGGTGTCTCCCCATTTCCTGACCAGCAGTAAAAGAAGAAAAATCAACTTGTGGCACGTCTGGGTCGCTGCAGCCCTTGGAGCAGCTCACTTTTAAGGTGATGGTGCTTTTCAAACCCAAATTTCTTTTTCAGAGCCTTACTACAGCTCATTTTAAAGAGAACAAAAGCCAAGCCAACCTTCTCCAGGGCTCTGGAGGACACAGCTTGTGTTTGGTGTCTCCCCATTTCCTGACCACAACTTGTGGCACCTCTGGGTGGCGGCAGCCCCATGAGCAGCTCACTTTGGGAGTGATGGTGCTTTGCAAACCCAAATTGCTTTTCCAGAGCCTTACTGCAGCTCCTTTTAAAGAGAATAAAAGCTAAGTCAACCTTCTCCAGGGCTCTGGAGGACACAGCTTGTGTTTGGTACCTTTGGAGGAGCACAGATGGCTGGGGATGGCACACATGGTGACAATTAGAGCCGCAGTTGTCACCAGGCGCTCGCTCATGTGGGAGCTTTTACCTCTCAGCACCTTTCCTTTTCTCAGATCTCCTCTGGCACTGCAAGCTGCCCTTGTTGCTGTAAGAACAGAAATTTGCTCTCAGCAAACAAGGGAATTGCCAAATTCAGGTTTTCTGTCTCAGGGAGGGCTGCCTGTGCCAGGTGGCAGCGCCTTCACAAGGAGAGCAGAACACAAATGTTTGGTTTTATTCCACCTTTCCTAGGATTCCTTGCCTAGAACCATGGCTGAGCCAGAATTTGGTGTGAGAATCAGTAAATTTTGTGTTTATTGTGTTCATTTGACTGTTTTGCAGGCCTGCCTGGCCTGTCACTCCCCATTACTGCTCTGCATTCATGTGGCTCCATCTGACAGGGACTGAGCAGAGCCCTGCCACCCAAATGTCATCATGCAGAACACAAATGTTTGGTTTTATTCCACCTTTCCTAGGATTCCTTGCCTAGAACCACGGCTGAGCCAGAATTTGGTGTGAGAACCAGTAAATTTTGTGTTTATTTGCCCATTTTGCAGGCCTGCCTGGCCTGTCAGGCCCCATTACTGCTCTGCCTTCGTGTGGCTCCATCTGAGAGGGACTGAGCAGAGCCCTGCCACCCAAAATGTCATCATGCAGAACACAAATGTTTGGTTTTATTCCACCTTTCCTAGGATTTCTTACCTAGAACCACGGCTGAGCCAGAATTTGGTGTGAGAACCAGTAAATTTTGTGTTTATTTGCCCATTTTGCAGGCCTGCCTGGCCTGTCAGGCCCCATTACTGCTCTGCCTTCGTGTGGCTCCATCTGACAGGGACTGAGCAGAGCCCTGCCACCCAAAATGTCATCATGCCACCCAAAATTTCATCATGCCACCCAAAATTTCATCATGCCCGGTGTGTTAGCTGCCACTTGGTGAAATCCTGCATCTCCCCTCCATTGCTGGCTCGTTAGGGAAGGCTCCATTCGAGCAGCTCCCCTCAGTTTTTAGTTTAGATATTGCTCCTGCTCAGCAGGCTGGTGTAAATCTGTTATTTAAAGTGCACAACAATCACATTCAGCACAGGAAATGCAGTTAAAAAAAAAAAAAAAGAAAAAAGTGGTTTTTTTTTTGTTCAAAACCACCTCCAGAACAAGGTGCTGCTTGGTTTGTGTTTGTTTGTTTGGAGAGAGCAGAGGGCTGGGACCTTCCTGACAGCCAGCAGGGACAATCCTGGGGATGCAGACACAAAAACATCAGTGAACCTTCCTCCTCAGAGGCAGAAATTCAAGGAAATAACCAGAATTACAGGAGCAGCAATTGGGTGAGGCTGGAAGTCGTTTGGAGGAGCTGCTGAGTGATTTGATGTGTCAGCTACAGAGGGGTCTGAGATGTTCCCCAGGCTGTGACTTTCCAGCAAGGGAGGAGGTTTGGGTTCAGGAAATGCTGAGAGGGAGCTGTGAAACAGCTGCTGAGATGAGGGTGAGGGAAGGATTGAGAACCTGTCACCCAAATATTACTTTATTCTTCTTATGTTTTCTTTCGGCTTATTTATCTGAATTACTTTTCTAGAACAACAGCCTAAGTTTTCTGTATAAACACAGGTATTTCTCTATTTATTTATCTGAATTACTTTTCTAGAACAACAGCCCAGGTTTTCTGTATAAACACAGGTATTTCTCTATTTATCTCAATTAATTTTCTAGAACAACAGCCCAGGTTTTCAGCAGAAACACAGGTATTTCTCTATTTATCTCAGTTAATTTTCTAGAACAACAGCCCAAGTTTTCTGTATAAACACAGGTATTTCTCTATTTATCTCAATTAATTTTCTAGAACAACAGCCCAAGTTTTCTGTATAAACACAGGTATTTCTCTATTTATCTGAATTACTTTTCTAGAACAACAGCCCAAGTTTTCAGCAGAAACACAGAAACACCCTCAGATGAGGGTGTTTTCTTTGGGTCTGAAAAGTTCCTTGGATGTCAAAAATCCCCAAATTGTGTCCAGACCTCTGTAACTGCACTGCTGTGAGAGCTTGAGTGTTTTTGTTGGCCAGGAATAGAGATAAAAATCCCAGTCAGCATTAACAGAACTCCAGGCATTATTGCTGTGCCCACAGGCCTATTTCATGCACCACAGTGCTCTTCTGCAAGATAGATACAAGCAGAAAATTATTCTCCCTGAAGCACAGAGCCTAAACATGCCTTTAGAAATTAAAAAAAAAAAAAAAGTGAATGCAAAGCAGGACAGGCAGTGCTTTAATTTTCTAATTTAATTCCTAATTACAAGCGAAACAAAATTATTTTTAGAAGCCTGGGTAGTGTCATTCTGACCAAGGGTGCATCAAGGTGAAGTGAGAAATCCTGATGTGCTCCTAGTGAGCAATCCAGTGTCCCATGCACATTCCAAAATTAACATTTCAGTGGGATTAGCAATTAGGAGATTCCCAGGACAACACTGGTGGTTGCATCACATGAAGGGTGCTCAGCCACATTGGCCTTTTCCTGTTGTTCTGTGGGATTTCTGTGGCACAGCTCTGAGCCAGAGGTGCTTTTCCCACGGGGAAAAAGGGATTTGAGGCTTTTGCCTGAGCATTGGGAATGGGCTGAAGTGTGACAGCAAAACAGAGCTAAGGGGGGGGCGCTGGGACAAAACTTTCCAAGACAAATAAAAGATATTTCTGCTGCAGGAAGAGTGTGCAGAGCTCTTGTTGCCTCAGCTCTTGGCCCAGGCAATGCATGTGGACAGTGCTCTGTGAGGATGGAGCTCCTGCTGCTCATCTCCCAACAGGAATTTCATTTCCCACCTGAAATTTCCTTTCCCACCTGAATTTTCCTTTCCCACCTGGAATTTCCTTTCCCACCTGTAATCTCATTTCCCACCTGGAATCTCATTTCCCACCAGGAATTTCATCTCCCACTTGGAATTTCCTTTCCCACCTGGAATCTCCTTTGCCACCTGGAATTTCATTTCCCACCTGGAATTTCCTTTCCCACCTGGAATCTCATTTCCCACCAGGAATTTCATCTCCCACTTGGAATTTCCTTTCCCACCTGGAATCTCATTTCCCACCTGGAATCTCTTTTCCCATCTAGAATTTCCTTTCCCATCTGGAATTTCCTTTCCCACCTGTAATCTCATTTCCCACCTGGAATTTCATCTCCCGCCTGGAATCACCTCAAGCCGGAGGCTGCTCCAGCTGTGAGCTGGGATGGGGACAGAGGCACAAAGTGGCTCCAGGGCACAGCTGGACACATCTGGTGGGGTGTGAGGGGCACGGGGCAGCAGAACATCAGCCCCGCACTCAGGGCTCAGCCTGGGAAACATTTCCAGGGAAAATTTAATTGCAGATATGAGCCTGAGGAAAAAATATTTAGGTTTTAGACCTGTTTTCTCACAGATAAGCCTTCCTTAAACACACGCAGTGAGCACAGACTCTGCCTCTGGGTTTGGGTGAGACCAGCACCTGGGCAAATGTTATTAATACCTGAATTGTGCATTGTCTGGAGCCAGCAAAGGATGTGGGGCAGATTTCCCAAGTCCTTTCTGCATGCAGGCAGCAAAACCCAGCCAAGCTCAATGTTTGACACAGAAACTCCTCCTCCAGGACCTGGCTCTGGGGAATTTCTTTCCTCTCCTCTCCCAAGCTAATAGAATAAACTTTCAGATGAACTCTATCAATTCTAAACACTCAGATTTTGCCTGGTGTTTTGCTGGTGGCAAAAGGAGTGAACAATAACAAGGCTTTTTTTTTATGAATTATTGCTCAGGATTGTGCAGCGTTTCACTCACAAGTGCTGAAAATGCAGCTCCCTGCAGCAGGGGAGGCAGAGACAGTGTTTTGCTGCTGTGCTTTGCTCCAGTTTTGCTGCTCCCACTTTAATTTCGCTCTCCAGCGTTTTAACGAAGCTCCCGGTCCAGGAGGCTTTGATGGAAGTGACAAACACGAGGCAGAGCTGCTCCCAAGCATTTGATGCTTCACGGGGTTTTAAAGTGGGACTTTGTGCTTGCCGTGCCAGCGGGGAAAACTTGGGTTTTACCAAGTGTGCTCTGCAGTTAAAATATTTAGGCAAAACACTTCAAAATAACGTGCCTCAATGTCAGGTTTCTGGCAAGGTATTTGCATTCAAGTCACTGAAGCAAAAAGCAAATCACACTTAGAGATCCAACTGCCTGTTGTTGGAATATTTAAAAAGTCTCCTTTTCCTCAGCAGCAAGTGGCTTTTTTTTTTTTTTTTTTAGGCTTTCACATTGTAATAAGCAATTTCCCCTTCAGGGAGATTGTTTTTAGAAGTGTTTTAAAGCAGCTGTTGCTTTAAAAACCCTGGCAATGATGAATCTTGGCTTGTGCTCGGATAAAATAAGGAAATGTCAGTCCTCACACACAGACACACACCTTCCCTCTGAAACAGCACACCAGCTTTGTCAAAACAGCTCTGAATCCAACAAACTGCACGGAATTAAATAAAAGCATGGAATCTCGCGGAGCATAATTCAAAATTTAAGTGAAAGCCAGCACAAGCTGGGAGCAAGGCAGAGAGAGCTCAGTCCCCCACAGAGGTGACCTCATGGTCTCCCTTTATTTTTGTTTTCATTTAGCTCTGAAGAAAAAAGAAAAAAAAAAAGAAAAAAAAAGAAAAAAAAAGGAAAAAAAAAAGACTTTTTCTGCTGTTTGCAGAGGGAAGGGGAAGAGATTATTCAGATTATTCCCAGGTTCTTACCTCTGCTGCTGGCATAGAGGATCACCAGGGCGACGGCAGCACAAGTCATGAGGAGCAGCAGGACAGCCAGCCCGATGGCCACAAAGCTCCAGCGCTTCTTCCCAGATTTGGTCGATTTTTCCACAATATCCATTTGACTTTCTGATTTCCCCATTATTGTAACTCTAAATCGGGGAGGGGAGGGCGAGAAAGGGTTAACAGCACGGCTACATCAGGATAGGGAGAAGGAAAAAAAAAAAAAAGGAAGCAGGATAAAAACAAAGAGAAAAAGAAAAAGTCCAAGTTATTACATGTATTTGTCCATCTGATTGTCCACAGATTTGCCAAGATCATTCTCCATCTCCCGTGCCTGCGTGTCTGCTCTGGGGGGTGTCTGGCAGTGTCACAACTTCAGGAGCCTCTTTGGGAAGTCTGGAAAAGTCTCATGACCAGGTTGGGCAACTCCTTTCTCGCAGGCAGGGAAGGAGGGGGGCAAAGAGCCGCTTTCACCGCCCGCTTCCAAAGTATTCCCTGAATAATCGGAATAATCCCTCCGTGGCGCTGGGCAGCTCCGCAGGGCTCTGTCAGCAGCCGGGGGAGCTGCGCTGGGACCCTCGCAGGGCTCTGTCACCTCTGTCACCTCTCAGGGAATCCGGGCTGGGACCCTCGCAGGGCTCTGTCACCTCTGTCACCACTCAGGGCAGCCGGGCTGGGACCCTCGCAGGGCTCTGTCACCTCTCAGGGCAGCCGGGCTGGGACCCTCGCAGGCTCTGTCACCTCTGTCACCACTCAGGGAATCCGGGCTGGGACCCTCGCAGGGCTCTGTCACCTCTGTCACCATTCAAGGAATCCGGGCTGGGACCCTCGCAGGCTCTGTCACCACTCAAGGAATCCGGGCTGGGACCCTCGCAGGGCTCTGTCACCTCTGTCACCACTCAGGGCAGCCGGGCTGGGACCCTCGCCGGTGCCCGGGAGCGGCTCCGGGGGCGCAGGACGGGCACAGCGGGCGGCTCCGGGCACGGCGGGCGGCTCCGGGAGGCTGCGGCTCTGCCAGGCTGCTCCGAGCCATGCTCAGGCTTGGGAGCTCAGCCCCGAGCCCTTCCCAGCTCCAGGGAGATGCTCCGGAGGGGAGGAGGGAGTGGGATGGGCTGGAGGCGCTCCGAGCGCGGCGGCGGCTCCCGAGCTGCCCGGGGCTCTGTTAGCCCGGAATGCACACGGGATTGTCTTAGCCCCGGGGCTCGGTTAGCCCGGGATTCTGTTATCCCCGGGGCTCTGTTAGCCCGGAATCCACCCGGGATTGTGTTATCCCTGAATCCACTCAGGATTGTCTTAGCCCCGGGGTTCTGTTATCCCGGGATGACACCCGGGATTGTGTTATCCCCGGGGTTCTGTTATCCCTGAATGCAACCCGGGGTTCTGTTACTCTGGAATCCCACCCAGGATCCTGTTATCCTTGGAATGCCACCCAGGATTCTGTTATTCCTGAATGCCACCCGGGGTTCTGTTACCCCTTAAATGCCACCCGGGACTCTGTTACCCCTGGAATTCCACCCGGGGTTCTGTAATCCCTCAATGCCACCCTGGATTCTGTTATCCCCGGAATGCCACCCGGGATCCTGTCACCCCTGGAGCCACCCCATTATTCTGTCACCCCTGAATGACACCCCATTATTCTGTTATCCCCGGGATGCCACCCATTATTCTGTCACCCCTGAATGCCACCCCATTATTCTGTCACCCCTGAATGCCACCCATTATTCTGTTACCCCTGGATTTCCACCCGGGATTCTGTTATCCCTGCGATTCCACCCGGGATCCTGTTACCCCCGGGATGCCACCCGGATTCTGTTGTCCCTGAAGTGCCACCCGTTGTTCTGTTATGCCTGAATTCCACCCGGGATCCTGTTACCCCGGTTTTTTTGGCCGCTGCCCTCCATGGGAGCCCGCTGGGGCTCTCCGGCTTCCCCGAGCGCCGGCAGCTTTGGGGTGGGATGAACGGAGAAGCGCGAGCAAACGGGCTGATTTATGGGCTGTTGCAGGCAGTGCACACAATTCCTGCATGGAAATGCGGCTGGGAACAGCTGGGACAAAAAAAGCTGACTAAAAGCAAGGGCAGGGTGGGTTTCCCATGGGTTTTGTTTCACCCCGGGAGGAGCAGGCTGGGGCTGGGGCTGGGGCTGGGGGTGTTTTCCTCTCACTGCAGGATTTCACGTGGCAGAAATGCCAGGCTGTGCCTCTGCACTCCGAGTTTTGTGTGTGAGCTCAGGAGGAGGTGCTGGGGGCAGAGCAGGGGCTCCTTTGAGGCTGTTTGCTGGGACACCCAGTGTTCCAAGAATGGGGAACAATAAACACCAATTCCTTCTCCCAGTCACCATTCTGCCTCAAAACCCCTGGGAGAACTTCCCTTTCATTTTTTTTTTTTTCTCTCCAGAGTCAGGTTAACTCGGGCTCCTGGCAAGTGTGAAGGCAGAATTCTGATCCCAGCAGCTGAGGAGGAGTGGGAGAACCCAGGGATGGGAAATGCTCCTGGGTGTCCATATGGCAAACAGAGCTGCAGAAGGCAGGGGCACTGCTAAGGACAAATCTATATGTTTAATTAGGATTTAAGTGATCTCTTGTTTCTGTTTGCAGAAATTTCTGCAGCTAACAAAGATTGGTTTATGGGAATCTTCCTTGTTGTTGAGTCGTTTTACTCTTACTTTACAACTAAGCTGGCTCTGAGTAGGATCTACCTGGTTGACATAAAACTGCAACAGGCAGGTGCCTCACAGGACTTAATGCGGCAATTTTTGTAGATTTAACATAGTTAATTTTGTAGATTTAATGTGGCTATTATAAATCTCGTATATATAAATCTCGTAGATTTAATTGGCATTTTTTGTAGATTTAATGTGGCTATTCTCATAGATTTAATGTAACGTTTTTTGTAGATTTAATGTGGTTATTTTCATAGATTTAATGTGGCATTTTTGTAGATTTAATGTCATTAATTTTGTAGATTTAATGTGGTTATTCTCATACATTTAATGTAGTTATTTTTGTAGATTTAATGTGTTTTTTCTCATAGATTTAATGTGGCATTTTTGTAGATTTAATGTCGTTAATTTTGTAGATTTAATGTGGCTATTCTCATAGATTTAATGTAGTTTTTCCTCATAGATTTAATGTAGCTATTTTTTGGTACATTTTATGTAGTTATTCCCATAGATTTAATGTAGATTTTCTCATTGATGTAATGCATTTATTCTTACACCATGGCCATAAGACACTGCAGGGTATTATTTTGCCCATTTTGGAGATGCCAAGATGCCAAGAATCTAAGACCTTTATTCCTTCTGCTGTGCTAAGTAAAAAATAAAAAAAACCCAACCCAACTGAAACAACCAACCCAACAAAACTCAAGAAACCCCTTGTTTTCTGTGTGAGCAGCACCAGCAACTGTAAAGGACTTATTTGCAGCATCGTTAATTTTGATTATCTTGAGCAACCGTGAGCGGTCACAGGGATGGAGCAATCCATCATCCTGGCAGTGCAGCAGGGTCCCTGTTCTGGCCACTGCTTCAGAGGGGACAGAGCTGCTTTGATTTCTGACAGTCTCACCCTCACCTTGGAGCCTCTGTGGCAAAGGCAGCTCCACGCTGGGAAGCGGAATGGGGTTGCTCTGTTATTTTATTTTCCCCTAAATCTCACATTCAATTAAATTATTCATCATTTAATCAGCGCCTGCAGAAATTCTCACCTGCTGGTCCACCCCACCATCTATCAGCCCTTCATTTTACAAAAGAGCTTTTTTAAAAAAGCTTAATCCCCTCTTTGCAATCCTGGGAAGGTGAACACTGCTCTGGGGGTTTCTCCTTCCAGAGATTGAGGAACTGTGGGGGTTTTTGGTTCTTGGAAAACATCCTCTCTCCCCACAGCAATGTAGACACAAACCAGATGAAGCAATGAGGCATTTGCTGTTTGGGTTGGGCCACTTTGAAAGGATTTTTCCCTTTTTGCTTACTTTGGAACTTTGCAGAGGAGGTTCTCCTGTTACTGGAAATTGGAAGTGTAAAGAGCTCGAAGTGGGGCAGGGTTACAGCTTGGAAAAAGCCTCAAATCAGGGATTTTTACCCTTGGATCCTGCAGGGATGGGGCTTGAGCAGCCAAGCCTCTTTGTGGGGTGTGTTTAGCGGGAACTCAGAGACCCCACATGTGAATATTTACTCCAAAAGTGCCTCCTCAGGCACGAGGCATCCCAAACTGCACAGAGCTCCTGAACACAGAGAGTGAGCAGCTCTGGGGCTTTTATGCAGTGCTTTTCTCCTTGGGAAAAATTCCCAAGTCTGGGGGGAATTTAGGGAAGAGATTCCAGCCCTGGACAGCAAATATTTGAGCTGGTGCTTCACCTGTCTGGGAGACAGCACTTGAATATTTTTGCCTTCATATTTCCCCTGGAGAATCTGGAATAATTACAGCTGTACCTGGGACACTGAGCTGGGATGAGGCTCTTCAAGGATATTTTTACCTTGCTCAGAAGTTTGGTTGCTGTGTCATAGCTGCCACAATGTCAAGTTGACCTTCAACTCCTCCTTCTGAAGGAATTGATTCTGAAGATGGAAAATGTCATGAGTTGTGTATTTTTCCCCCCCTCTGCCTGTGTTTGTTTTGCCACCAGTGATGTAAACCTCAAAAACTTTGTGCTTATAAGAATACATGAGAATATATAACCTAAAATTATATATATATATATGCACCTGATAGTATTATATGAGAATATATTACCTGCTTTAGTTGCCTGCCCAATTTTTGCACCGTTTTTATTGTTAATATTAATGAGATTGAATGCTCTGGGTCACCTGAATAGATGATCCCATGGTTGCTGCTCCCAGAAATCCAGGGAGTGGATGTGCAGTAGAGCAGTGATTTCCCAGCTGGAGCTCTGGGGCTCTCCTGCAGGAATTAAACAGCTCCACCAAATGTGAAATGTGAAAACAACTCCATGTCCTAAAGCAATCTGAGCCAAGCAGGACGTGGCAGCATCTTTAGTGGGATTTGTCTTAAGAGTTGTTGCCATGGAAACAAGGTCTCCATCTCTATCTGGTACACCCTTATAGATATCTATATAAATATATATATTTCTATGTCCACATCTACCTGAGATGTGAGGGAAATTCTCTTCCCTCTGGCTGTCAGGGTTGGTAGT